AAAGTCGTTGATGATTTTGTTTATTGTTTAGTGCCTGATAGGGTTTACACATTTACGGAGGGTTTTGCATTCCGCGGGGGATTTCCGATAAAGTTTAGACTCTTATTTCCTCGGAATCCCAGGGGGGCAATCATTTGATTGTGGCAGAATTATGTTTCAAGAAATTATAAATAAAACGAGGGGGAACGTTGTGAGTTGCTGCGGACACCGCAACTCTACGGTTATACCCGATACTAAGTCAGTATGGCTCTCCTCCGGCAGACGCCGCTAATATTTAACGACACGACAAAGAGTGCGTGCGAGAGAGACAGAAAATCAGTCTGAGCGTGACGTCGGGCGCTGCGTAGCCACTGCAAATTGATTTGTTCCTTTTGGCTATAAAAATGATCTGATCTGATCCAGATTCAGCAATCTAATAGATATGGTCATTATCTATGATTCTGCGTTTTTAGTTTTCTCAAATCTGCAATATTGTGGATGCAACAGATTTTCGTCCTTTGTGGGGGCGGATGGGGGTGGGGCGAAATTCTGAGATATACGTTTTATAGTGACATCTTAAAGGAATGTGTGCACCAAATTTGGTTACTCTAGCCTTAATAGTCTCTGAGATTTGTGGTTGCCTCAGATTTTCGTCCTTTGCGTGGGCGGAAGGGGGTGTGGCGAAATTTGGACAGGAAACGGTCAAGGTCCGATATCACAGGAGTGTGGATACCAAATTTGGTTGCTCTGGCTTTTATAGGTTCTGAGATCCTTGAACTCATATATTGCAATTGGCAAAACCGACCATGAAACCTGTGTGTTAGAGTGAGACAGAGCGAGAAAGAGTGAAATTGTTTTCGTGATTCTGGCTGTAATAATTATACGATCTGGTTCAGATTTTGCACTCTAGAAGATATAGTCATCTTCTACGATTCTGCGTTTTTAGTTTTCTCGTATCGTCGAAATTGTGGATGCCACAGATTTTCGCCCTTTGTGGGGGCGGAAATGGGCGGGGCAAAGTTTTGAAATATTTTTGGAGCAGTGACATATCACAGAAGTCTGGATCCAAAACATCGATGCTCTAGCTCTTATAGTCTTTGAGCATTAGGCGCTGAAGGGGACGGACAGACGGACAGACGGACGGACGGACAGACAGACAGGGCTCAATCGACTCGGCTATTGATGCTGATCAAGAATATATATACTTTATAGGGTCGGAAACGATTCCTTCTGGACGTTACACACATCCACTTTTACCACAAATCTAATATACCCCAATACTCATTTTGAGTATCGGGTATAAAAACTGGTATTATCCGGGTTTCGCCAATTTTTTGCGATTAAAATTTCAGAAAAATTTGTACGAATTGAAATCCGTTTGCTCCCGATATTTTTTTAATATTTTTATTCTCTAATAATTAAAAAATAAATCTTTTCCCTTATTTCTCGTATCCCAACTCTCTTCCAGTGTGGCTTAGCAGGCAAGGCCATAGTCTCTCGTCGAGTTCTATCCCAATAACATGAGTGGTATTTCTATTAAATTACAGCTCTCGATATTTTTTTAATATTTTAGTTCTCGTTCTCTAATAATTTTTAAAAAATCTTTTCCCTTATTTCTGGTATCCCAACTCTCTTCCAGTGTGGCTTAGCAGACGCAATTTCCAGTGTCAAAAACCTTTAAAAAATCGCCCAGCAATTAATCAAAACCGAAAACGAAACGCAAGTACAAGTTCAAGTGGAATATTCCTAGAATAAAACACATCAGCGCCGTGGTAGCCACAGAAGTAATTTATGTGCAACTTGCTCGGCGGCCATGGCCCATTAAGAGCACAAATCTGAATACACCCCCGAAAAAAACGCGACACGAGGCCCTCGACATCTCCTGAGTAATGGAATACTACGATGTCTTCCAGGGGGAGGGGGGTAGGGGGGGAGGGACACACGCAATACACGAGCTCTCGTTCTCGCTCTCGCTCTCTCATTCCCATTTTTATTTTCGCTTTCGCCACACTTTTCATTAAGTATGTTGTTTTCCCCGGCTCGGCGCGTACAACTAATTAAGCTATTTTTAACAACAGAAACAAAAAGTAAAGCGAACTTTTCAGAGGCACGCACTGAGCGGCACAGCGTCGGTCGACAGTCGCAATGTCTGGCAAGATCGCGTGCCACAAGGGGGCTGGGCGCGGCAGAGCTGGGGGCAAGGCGCAGCTGTGCTCAATTAATGTCACTTTGCTCATGATTTCAATTTGGGAGATACTAGCACGTATATCTGGCATTTAAACCGAGAGCAAACCACTCGCCAATTGGCTAAATGAAGGAAACCCAATCGAGAGCCTTTGCTGCTAAGCCACACTGGAAGAGGAGGGAAGAGCAGAGTCAGCCATGACTGGGAGCATGTTTTGTTCAAACTGGAAGGCCCCTCAATCTCACAAATAGTGCAATCAATGATGAGAAATGATTATCTTTACTGCTAAGCCACACTGGAAGAGAGACGGGCAGAAACAGAGGGAGCAAGCGCAGGGCAGAGGTGGAGTCAGTGGCTTCTGGGAATTTCTGAGGAGCTCTCAATCTCATAAATAGTGGAGTAAAAGGGGTCTATGGTATAAAGCTTTACTGGTAAGCCACACTGGGAGAAAAACAGGCAGAAGAAGAGAAAGAGCTGTTGCAAGATTCAGTGGCTTCTGGGAATTGGTTTACTATATCCTGAAGACCATTCAATCTCATAAATAGTGGAGTAAAAAGGCATATAGCTGAGAAATAATTATCTGTACAGCTAAGCCACACTGGGAGAAGGGGAAAGAAAGCGAGGGAGAGATGGTAGAGAGCTGGTTTTCTTTATTCTGAAGACCCTTCCATCTCCAAGGGATTATAAGGGTTTATTCAATGACCAATAAGAAAGTCTTTCGAAATCTATAAAATACCAAGATCTCAGAGACTTTACGATGTGATGTGTGTGCTCTTCAGAGATGTTTATGGTTATAAGATATATTTACACATATTTTCACTCGCTTTTCAGCCTAGAAAAAGATCTCCCAATCAAAATAAAGCTGTGCGGGGGACTATAGCTTTCACAATATAAGAGATAAAAGACTTTTATTCAATAGAGTTGTAGATATAGCTATTATCCCGCTAAATACCGAATATCATCTAGATTGGTTGACTAAAGATCTTTCCTTGGTTACCAAACCAGAATAAACCTCATTTTTATAGAGAACACAGCCTAATCGAAAGATCATCAGCAGATTTTCTTCTAAGGAATGAAGAATACCATTTTTGCAAAATAAATATATTTTAGACAAAAGATAGACACATTTTAACATTGAATTCATTCGCAAGTCACGCCCACATGGTTTTTTGGTAGGCGAAACGAATTTGTTAGTGTTTCTTTTTTTTGTTTAATTAAAAAGCGCCAAATCGAAATTTAAACATACATAAGTCTGCCTATCCACAGATAGAACCCAACAAATAGCTAGAGAGACGTGTATACTATATATATAAAATGATAAAAGTATTTTTTCCTTAACGCTTTGATTGCATTTGGAAATTTATGATCTGTTCGAGAGGGGGTCTAATATTAGAGATGATTTTCCAACGGCCCAGAGATTAATTGTGAAAATTTACATATACACGGGCTATACTTATAGATATTGTATCTGAAGTTGAGTTAAGACCGGACTGGTTTTATGGGTCCCCGGGGGTAGCGTTTAATGTGCGCTGTTCTGTCGTGTGGGGGCCTTGTTTTTATGGCCACTGAATGCACTTTACACCTCGCCCATTAAATCATTCAATATTCGTGTGGTGGGGACTCGGTGGAGGTTTCCGTGTGGGGGAGCGCCCTATTTGTCATACAGATTAGAGGCACACAATGCTTCAATCAAGAGCGTGTGTCAAAGATTTATGGGTTACACTGATTACGGATTACAGAAAATTGAACTACAAAATGATTTCCCAATCAAATTACAGCCGTGCGGGGGTATAATCACATATGAGAGCTCTAAACGAGTACTATCCCAATAATATTGGAGAGCTTCCTACCAATACCCCTTTCGATTCCATTTTCTAATCACAAACTGGTTCTTTGTGAGTGGTATTTTTATTAAATTATAGCTCTCAAGGGGTACTATAGTTTTAGAATAATCATACATAGCCTTGTTTATGGATTATTGGGGAAATTTCTCAACAAATTACAGCTCAAAAGGTTTAATAATACCTGAGGAAGTGCCCCTTATATCTAAGAGAACTCCAAGTACTCCCAATAATATTAGAGAATTTCTTAATCAAATTCTAGTTGTGTAACGATTGATTTAAGAACTATTTCCCCATGATATTACAGAACTTTCCCATCAAAACTACAGCACATATCCATCTCTTATTCTAGATTACTTCCTCATCAAATTAACATTCCATTTCTCAACTAACAAATTGCAGTTCTTTCCTCACAGATAAACCCTACATTTCCAATCAAAATGTATCTTTAATTTCCCCATCATTTTACAGCCTCCAAAAGTTCTCTAGCGTAAACATTTCGTATTTCGTAGGCGCCTAAAACCCAGAAAATATTGTAAACAAAACAGTTTTGTTTTCGTTTTCTAATTAAAGCTCACCGAAATCGACACAGAAAACAGAAAACAGTCAACATAAAAAATATAAATTACGAAAAAAAACAAAAAATATACAACAGCCTAGCGAAAAGCTAGAAACAAAATTCCGAACAAAACGCCCGGAGGCTAATAAATATTTTTCGGTGAGCAGTGCAAAAACGAGTTTCAAACCGAAAAGAAAAAATCTGTCAATAATAATTTCAATAAAAATGCAAACCACCAATATATAAATTATGAAATTTCAGCGGTTTTCGGAGGACGGGGGAGGCAGGGGGGCAGAGGATGGGGAATCTCATTTGCATTGGCGCCAAAGGCAGAGCGGAACAGAGAAGAAGAGAAACCCGAAAACAGAGAAGAGAAACTTATGTTGTTGGATGAAGTAGGAATTAATTATAAGGATAAAATAAAAAGAAGCCTTACCTGATCTTGACAAAAGTATCCAAAGCCAATGATGCCTGCGATGGCGAGGAATAAACAAAATACAATGATTTTTCGTATTTTGGAGCGTGGTTCCATTTTCTTGATTTCATAAACACCGCTGGGTAGCAATAGGGAAAAATCACTATCAACTTGTACTGAAACGTTCTTATGCATATCCCCGGGATGCATGTTCCATACCCGTAAAGGATCCCCGCGGTAACAGAACACAACTAGACCTAGACCTACAGCATCGATGACAAGATTCGAATCGAATCCAATCGGTTATCGGCGAACCGCAACCGCACGCAAATCGATGGGTAGACCCACTCAAACATAGTTCCCAGTCGTTGCCCGATAAGAACTCGTACAAAAAAAAAACAGTTCTAAAACTCTCCCTCGACCATCAATGGAGGGGCTTTTCTTGTGTCTTCCAGTAGCTCTGCAAAGAGGGTAAAGTAAATCGGAAATTAGTTGGAAATATATATATAATCAGAGAAGTGCTTTTGCTCCGATAAGCAATCCATTATAATGTCTCGCCGCTTATCGGACAAGTGCCGCGTCGGCAGTAGGTTAAACTATTTTTTATAAAACAAACAAAAAAAATACCTGCAACGATAAGAATTTCTATAATTATAATTACAAAACTATACAAATTGTGTTTTTTTTTCTATGCCAATCATAAAGCTATATAAATTTGTCTGACGTTTTTATGGCTTATTTTTAATTGAAAAATCACTGGAAAAAAATATATTGATGAAAAGGCGTTGGGGAGATTTGCGATTGGCAAAAGAAAAACAACAACAGAAAAACTGTGCCTCATTTGTGTGGGAAATCGCTGATAAATGTACAGAAAAAAGATAAAGGCCATAAATCAAGAATTATGATGGGGAAATAAAAGATAAACTATTATTTTTGGGGAGCAAAGAATTTTGTATACCCTGAAAAAGGGAAAATCCGAGTAAAATGAAGTGACATATCGGTATTTTTCTTTCTCTGCTACAAAAACCACTGCTTGAGGAACGTAGTCAAACGATCTTATACTGCTTTGAAGCTTCTATTACTGTTTTGACATATAAGAACACTGCTTGATGACGGCGGGAAACTTCTATAGCTGCTTTTCATTGGAGGATAACTGCTTGCTAGCCACAGATGTCTTCCCCATCTTTCTGCGAGTGCTTTTGATTTCTAGAAAACTGCTTAACGATTCGAATTATTTTTCTTTCACCTCATAGTAGCTCTACTCTCTCTCAAGGGTAGTGTATCAAAGATAAACACGCAGAGGCAGCAGTCGGCAGGCGGCAGACGCCAACTGGCCCGACGTGCCGGCTAAGCAGTCTGTTTGACGCCCAAACGGAAAGCACTTCTCCACTGGCATGTAGGCCGGTCCAGTTCCTGCTGCTGTGCATCATTCCGGCCTTTTTGGAGCCAAAGATACTGCAATTTGTTTTAAACAAATTATGGCCAAAAGACCGAGAGTGCGGTGGCGGCATTACAGATGTTAACGGGTGTACCACATGGTGCATGCGGTGGACACATGGTGCATGCCACCAGATGCTAATGGAGTGCCACAAACACACACACACATTGTTTAGCTATTAGCCAACTTTGGAGGCAGATCTGAACCGCGTAGTAGAATTAAACAGTTTAGTAGAGAAACAACAAATAAATTAATGGAAATGCTGATCTTTCTGCGACAAAAACAAAGGTGTAGACAAGCTATGTTCAGAAAAAGGTACGATCACAGGGATGTCCTCTCTGAGATCTCAGCATATGTGCGAGGATCTTGGAATAAGCGGTAACACAATGGACTAAAACTGGTCTTCGTAGGAACCTAGCTGGGACTCAACATTATTTATTTCTAACCTTTCACACTGGTCCCAACTGTCACAACGAGATCAACAGAAACTTTCAAACCCACAGAGCGGGACCGCCATACGGCATACCTGCTTATAAATATACCCTGAATGCACGGCAGACACAACAGCTGTTCGACTTCCGATGGTCAAACGCAATTTGGCAATTTTCACACCATTTACTTACTTTAGAGGGTCGGGCCCAGGCTTTTCTCAACTATTCACAATTTGTAGCACTTTGCACGTTTATTTATTTACATTTTTGTGTATTTGTGCGTTTCCACGCGCCTTTAGCGCGCCTTCTGTCTTTCTACGCGCATTCTGCGTGACAGTCGGACGGGCAGCACAACAAAACCTCCTTTTTCACGTAAATATCTTTGATATTCGCTTCAAATTGTTTTCCACTCACTTTTCACAATTGTTTAGCAATTATAAGAATTTTTCTAGTGCGTTTCGTGTATTTTTTACGAGTTTTTAGACGAAAACAACGCGGAGCAGCGACACCACGTCCGTTTACAGTTAAAATCGGCGAACGAATGCACAAAACGGAACAGGGGAAAACACCAAACGAAAAAGAAGCCCAAGACGAAGCAGGCAAGCCAAACAGCTGATGGGGCTGCCAGAGAACTGAAGTTAATCTTTTTCACCCGATGTGGCAGCATCATCGCTAATTTTCCGCCATTTTTCTATCGAAGAAGGGCCACCACTAGAATAAAGTGTACAAAGTGGAGCTGCCAGACCGCTAGAATTTATACTTTTTTAATCGATCTGGTAGTGCATCAACCGACTTTGGCGGAATTTGAATTTGAAAAATTACAAGAATTTATTATTATTCGTTTATTGCATTAGTACGTATCAAATATAATTGAAACTCAATTAATTTATCGCTAATATTAATCACAGACCAAAAGCCCAGCCCCGCTCTACGCATCTAATTACCGCCACCACCTGAGGAGGAGGCGCTGGCGTTTCCAGCACTGGCCGCAAAGAGTTTCCTCAGATTCTGTAAGATCCCCCACAATACGGTTCCCGCCGAGCCAAGAGTCTCGAGGACATCGAACCCTGTGCTCTCGATGGCAGTCTCACGATCCTCCTCCGTCTCGATGGCCGGGGAGCTAATGTTGCCGCCGCTGTGAGGCGCATGGTGCACGCCATGATGCCCGATCAGGCGGTGGGAGTTGGTGCGCACATGCGTATCGTTGACGCCGCCACCGCCAACGGCATTTATCAGATGCTTGACCGGCTCCAGGACGGGAATGGCCAGCTTAATGCGACTCCAGGTATCGGCCGACTCTGTGGCACCCTCGTGCTGCTCACTGGCCGTCTCCGGGTCCAGTTCATCCAGAGTATTACGCTCACTGACCGGCTCATCGTCCGTTTCCAGGGTCACCTCCAGGCTCTTGTTGCCGGTGCCGGGAAGCAGCAGGAGACTGCCGAACAGCTGCCGCACATGAGCGGAATTCGTGGCCTCTGCTTCGTTCTGCTCAAAGTCGAACTCCTCCCGCGGTCCGGCTGGTCGTTTCTGGTTCACGTAGCTGGACACGTGCAACATGCCATTGCTGGGAGTGGGTGTGGGCGTGGTAGTGGTCTTGCTGGTGGTCTGACTGCCGTTGGCTGGCTTTCCGGACGTCGTCGTCGTCGTCAGCAGCAGCAACAGCACGAACTGTACGGCAGGAGACATGGAAATATTAATTGGCGCTTAATGACGATCCATACTTGTATGAATATTGAATGCGATCGGTAATGAGGCATTCTATATGCCGCCCCAGACCTCGTGCTTTTGCAACAGACGGAACGGAGACCTTGAAATGGTTCTAATAGATCTGACAAAACTGCAAATTAGTTAGCGATTTATGGAGTAAATGTGGAATGTATGGGGAGGCTAATAAGGGAGGCTTTCGTCCTGATTGAATCTCAGAAACTGTGCCAAGAATGGCTTCCAGAACAAACTTCTAGGCCAAGAAGAACCCAAAGAAACCAATGGGCTTTGAAATGGATCTTAGATACTTGGAGAACTCCGAAGAATTGTAGGCTCTTGGTAGAAACCAAGGGAATACCGAATTTGAATGATTTTCGTAGTAAAGAAGTGAATACAAAATTGTTAAACCTGTGCTCTTCGATCCTTGACCTATGAGGAGTACACAGTCGAAGGCCTGTTCAATGAGCTACCGGGGGAGCCATAGAAACATCTAGTGCCTTGAAGACCCTCCTTTAAACCTTTCAAATTACGATGCTTACATGCAGAAATACCAGAAAACATATGGAACTATATGTGGAACTTGACAGTCGCGACATTGTCAATGGGGGAATACACAGAGGCTAGAAAACGAAACCGAAACCGAAACCGAAACTGAAACCGAAACCACAGCCAGCAAACCCACAAATTGAACTAATCGAATGCCCAACGGTGGGTCTGACTGGGTGACCAACAAAACAATGAGTGGGTGACGAAGGCACCTTGCTCGGTCAATGGCCAATTAATATGCTGGAAATGTCCAAGCAATTGTTGTACCCAAATTAAATTCAATATGCATTTAGAGGCCCCCCGTTCTATGATTTTCGAGAGATGTCTCTCTCTCTCTCTCTATGTCTTTAAGAGAGCTTTGGATTGGTCATTGATTAAAGAGACTAAAACAAAAGGTTTATTTTCGAAACTACTTTTTAAATGAGATTTGCCACGTTTCGCTGTGAGAAATGAGGTTTAATCCATTGATTGTTTTGTCGATAATATCTCGAGTTTGGAACCGATCTCCCACTATGACAATGGCCTCTTTGACTACTACGGAAAAGAATTTCAAAAACAACATCAAAAAATCAATTTTTTGGCAATGCTGGTTGGGTTTTTCCAAAATTTTCTTTCGCAAAGACCTTCTACGGACAAATACCAAGAGCTGAAAAAAAACTTAAGCCAAATCGTCCCAGCCGTTCTTTAATTATGTAATCATACATCATACACTTTCCACTCTATTTGTTTATAAATTTGAAATTTTTGGGTTTTTCCAAAGAAAACTCGAATAGTAGCTCGTCGTATTTGTGTCATATTTACGTCTCTCAACTACTTTAGGCATAGTCATAACACAACGTTTCCGGATAGCACAGCACAACAAACAAATATTTAAAATTCGAAATTCGTTAAGTTTTTTTTTTTTTGGATCATTTTAGTTTTTGGTTCATTCAGTTTCATGCGGACAAAAAGATAATGGCGCTGTATGTAAAGATGCCACAAATATTACGCGTAAGTCCCACCGATAACGGTTCTATGAGATATACACTTGCATCAGACCAAAAGTAATGCTTATAACAACTTCTTTGGGAAGATCTGATATGTACTTAAGTGGGGTATAAGTCCAAACCGTGGTTATTTGGGAATCATGCTGAGATCTAGGGGGATCCGAAAGTAGTCTCCGATCATAAAGGGCTCTTGGAACACAATTGATTCGCGTTTTCTAGATTATGTCTCAGTCTTTCCGTACATCGTGTAAAGAGGATCTGTTGAGATCTGACTACTATCAAAGACTATTCAAGGCCAAGATGTTCGCTCTTTTAAGGCCTCAATTCTCCTTTTACTAGGCTTCGTCTTTGATCGCGGTCTCGCTGCCTTGGACAGCTGAGTCGTTCCCAAATTCCAACAACAAAATACACCGTCTTTCGTGGTATTTTATAGTCTTTGATACTATCATGTATGTGCAGATGTAGCGGCCATCAATATATTTGCAAAGACTGCAAGAAGTGGCCAAACCCATACCAATATAACCATTTCCCTTCCAAACAACCGAGGAGCGCTAGCGCACGATACTTAGAAGGGAATCTGTCGTGCACATGGAGGAGAGAATAGAAGTTCTACCTATCAGCGACGATAATTATAACCAAACTGAACTAAAAGATCTAAACGTATACATTTTCTGGAGATATCATAAAGCTTACATAGAAACAATCGATCTAAAAACTTATTAAAAGCCTCGTTTACCAAAGATAGCCTTCCTCTAGTCTCTAGAGTAACATTTGTCCCACATTTACCCTATGGCAAAGGGTGTCTGTCTGTCTAATCCGTGGATAATGTACCCATTCGCTTATGGGACATTTTTAGAGCACCATTCGACTACGAATGTGCCATAGAGGAACAGGGGTATTCGTCTTTAGCTAGATTTCGTGTGGGTGGCTTTCCAAAGGCTGAATTTGTCGAGCAAAGTATGTATCCTTTTTGGCTTCACACAACATACGTATGTCATTGAGCCTTGATTCTCATTCGGCTTGTGAACACTCAACCGACAACACGGAAAAAAATTTTTTTTAGAATTAAAATTCACAAAATTTTCTGTAGCAGTATAAATTATATTTAGTTTCGATTTTGAGAAAACAATATGTCTGGCATTCTTGGCTGGATAAAGCCGTCAGCCAGCAGTCCATCTAAACGCCTGTCGCCGTACCTCCTGCAGATATCCCGATGCATAAGCTACCACGCGCCGGTGTTGCGGCCGCGGTTCCTTCTCAATGAGCGGGCCAGAAGACTCAAGCGTATTGGGCTGCGGGCCACGCCCCAAGCTATGACCATGAGCAACAGCATGCGGGTGCAGATGTACTCGCAGAAGACGAGCAACAATGTGTTTGCCCTGAACGGAAGGGTGAATAATCTGCGGAAGCGTGTCAGCTTCTCTGGGACCCAGGAAGGACCGGAGGGAAACGCCAAGCAGAACGTCATACCGATTGGACTGATCACGCCGGAGACCAAGGATGGCAAGGACCTGAAGATAGTTATTGTCCCACTGGATATAGCCGGCATGAATGCCGAAGATCTGAAGAGCACGCTGGAGAGCATCAACCACCTGCGCAAGTATGCCAACCAGATAGAGGCCTTCTCCTCCAGCATGGTGGACGACTTCAATGAGATGATGCAAAACGCAAACACCGAGGTTCAGAGGGAACTCAAAGCTGCCACAGCAGCGGCAGAAGAGGCCGAGGAGCAGGCTCTGCAGGAGCAGCAGCAGCAGCAGCAGCCGCAATCCAGCGCCGGGGATGTGGAATTTTGGAAGTCATACACCATACCCCCGTCTGCGGAGGATAGCAATATCGATGCTATTGCCAAGGACACAATGGCCCAAGAGGGCTCTTCGGCAGCCCTCGCGTCCACAGGTTCGATACTGACAACATCGAGCCTGCCACTTGCCGCACCAGCGACCAAAACAGCGAAACTACCGAAGACCACACAGCCCAAGGTGCAGACACAGGATCAGGCAAAGGCCCATACCCAGGCCAAGGTGCAGATCCAGAGCGAGGAGCAAGACCAGCCGCAGGGGCAGACGCCGGTGGAGCAACCTCAGGCGCCACAACCCCTGCCTAAGACCCTGCCAGTACATGACCCGGTACCGGCACAGCCCCAGGGCAGGAGCAGCAGCAGTCAGCTGATGACCCAGCCCCCAGCCCCGGCCCCAGAACCAGAAGCCGTCGCCGAATGTGATTTGAACGAGGTGAAGATTTCCGTGCCCAGGACTCTGAGCGATCGTCTGAACGAGCTGGCCATCTCCTCCATGGAGCTGTCCTTCGAGATGGACATGACCAATGTGCACGATGCCATCGAGTGCAAGCAAACGGGTCAGCAAGTGCTGGTGCCCAACAATCCAGTGGTGTCCATGAACACCCGAGTGGAGCTGGCCACGCCTGGCCTGGTCGAGCAAACAGTGCCCCTGCGATTCAATGCCCTAATCGCGGGCGTTGTCAACATCGATGTGGAGAAACTGAATCTCGAGAGCATGACCGAGGATCAGGTGCCGGACTTCAACGACGACGTCACCTCCCTGGCGGCCAATCTGTGCAGCGCCGCCTTGGAGAACGGACTGTGTGCCGATCAGAATGCCTTCCACAAAGGAGACCTAGTGGACGATAACAACCCTATGGAGCTCAGCGACAAGCAGCTGTCGGAGATGACCGACCAGGAGTTGGTCAGTCTGAAGGAGCAGTATGCCGTCAGGCTCTCGGAGCTGCAGAGCGAGCTGTCCGCCGTCGAGCAGATGGATCCAGCGGCCACTGTGTCCGCCATTGCCAGGTCGTTGAATCCGCAGCGGGAGCTGCCCCAGATATCGCCGAAGGCTCGCGCGGCTCTAAATCGCAGCCAAACCCAGAAGCACATGAAGCCGACCATGCAGGCCATGGCGGAGCCCGAGGAGGAGTTCCAGGGTCCAATGCTGCGCGATGGCTGCAAGCATGGCGTCATCAAGCCCAAGAAGAAGTGCAAGAAGACGTGTCCCCTGGGCGATCCCTGCAAGGAGGATAAGTGCAAGCGTCCCAAGAAGGGGCCCAAGAAAGCGCGCAAGAAGAAGGCCTCTTTGGGTGCATCCGAGATCCGGGCCAGTGGTGGCAAGTCTTCGTGCGGTGGCAAAAAGGATGCCAAAAAGGATCCCTGTGCGAAAAAGGATGGCAAAGGTGACAAGAAGAAGAAGGACCCTTGTGCCAAGTTCAAGAAGGGCGGCGACAAGAAGAAGGATCCTTGCGGCAAGAAGGACGATAAGAAGAAGGATCCTTGCGGCAAGAAGGGAGGCAAGGACGAAAAGAAGAAGAAGGATCCCTGCGCCAAGTTCAAGTCCGGAGAAAAGAAGGACCCCTGCGCCAAGAAGGACGATAAGAAGGACCCTTGCGGCAAAAAAGGAGGCAAGGACGATAAGAAGAAGAAGGATCCGTGCGCCAAGTTCAAGTCCGGAGAAAAGAAGGATCCCTGCGCCAAAAAGGACGATAAGAAGAAGGACCCTTGCGGCAAAAAGGATGATAAGAAGAAGGACCCTTGCGCGAAGTTCAAGAAAGGCGGAGATAAGAAAAAGGATCCTTGCGCCAAAAAAGACGATAAGAAGAAGGATCCCTGCGCCAAAAAGGACGATAAGAAGAAGGACCCTTGCGGCAAAAAGGATGATAAGAAGAAGGATCCTTGCGCAAAGTTCAAGAAGGGCGGAGATAAGAAAAAAGATCCGTGCGCCAAAAAAGGCGATAAGAAGAAGGATCCCTGCGCCAAAAAGGACGATAAGAAGAAGGACCCTTGCGGCAAAAAAGGTGGCAAGGGAGACGGCAAGAAGAAGGATCCCTGCGCCAAGTTCAAGAAGGGCGGCGATAAGAAGAAGGATCCCTGCTCGAAGAAGTACTCCACGTTCGCCAGTCCATGCCGCATCGACGGCCTGAACGATCCCGTGTGCCGGATCGGCGACACGTGTCAGGCAGCAGTGGCTGCGTCCCACTATTCGGGCCACGCGGCAGCTCCCGCCCGCTACTTGATCTACTCGACGCTCGTGCGCCGTCACTATGGGGGCAAGCCGACGAAGACCCAGCTCTGCGGCCTGGCAGCCGGCGACGTGCTCACCTGGCAGCGTGGCTATGCGAAGAAGGGCGGCAAGAAGGAGGATGGCGGCAAGTGCGCTGCCCTGGACCAAAAACTTCCCCTGAATCGTGGCAAGGACAAGAAGGCGCGCAACGAGCTGCGCACCGACTGCTACGTCGACGGCGAGGAATGCCCCAAGAACTGGTGCACCGGAAACTGCGCCAAAGTCCGGTTTCCCCGCAAGAAATGCGACAAGAATAAGAAGAAGAAGAGTGGCAAGAAACACAAGTCCGGCAAAGGTGCGTATACCGTGTAGATTCCTCTCCTCCCCCTCCTAACTCCGATTGAAACTGTCTACCCCCCAAGGCAGAAGGAAATAAGTTGCTATCCCTGGAGTCAGTCCCTGCCCTGGCCCTGGCCCTGGCCCAGAGGCAGCGGTGGAACACAAGGGACTTCACTTGCCAGGCCGAGACTCAGCTCGGTAACGATCGAACCGGATATATGATCCATGTTCCAAGGCGCTATGAGATCGAGATGTTGGAAATACCATTGCCCTGTCCCAAGGAGTATGGTAAGTGGTGGATCCTCCTCCCTCTATTTTCGACGTCACTTACGATCATCTCCATTTCAGAGACCATCATTCGAGTTGGTTCGGTAGCCCTCAGCGGCTCCGATATTCACATCTATGAGAACGGGAATGAGGACATGAAGGAATTGACGCTGGGGCACGAGGCCACGGGATTTGTGGAGGAGGTGGGCTCTCGTGTCCAGAATCTACAGCTGGGCGATCGTGTGGTTTGTGAGGCGACCATTACCTGCGGCTCCTGTGACCTCTGCAAGGAGGGACGATACCAAATGTGTGAGCGCCTGTGGTACAAGGGCTTCCTGGGCACCCATCAGATCCACCATGCTGATCTCTGCCACCGACTGCCCGACAACATCACCATGGAGGAGGGCAGTCTCATCCAGACGCTTGCCTCGGCCTGTGCCGCCTGCCTGAAGGCTGGAATATTGCCCATCAGCAATGTGCTCATCATTGGATCGGGGCCCACGACAATAGCGGCGGGACTGGTGGCCAAAGCCCTCAGTGCCAAGCAGGTGACGATCGCCACCAACATGGAAGCGACACAGCATATGGCCACACGCGAATTTGGCCTCAATTGCGTGCTGTACGGCACGAATGGAATGTACAGCGAGGAGCTGGAGGCCATCTACTGCAAGGCCAGGGATTGGCCCAATGTGGTCATCAACTTTGCCATCTCCGCCCAGACCATGAACCTCTCCATAATGGCCCTCAAGCCCTGCGGTATTTGTGTGCTGGCCGAATGTGCCTCGGAGGTGGCCAGCTTCAATACCGTCGATCTACTCATGAAGAACATCAAAATGAGGCCCAGCTTTCGATGCGCCAATATGTGGGTAAATCATGCGAGTAATGCATTCTATAATAACTGATATCCTTCGGCAGGTACCCCATAGCCTTGCAGCTGATGGCATCGAGACTGGCGCCAATGCGCAAATTAATTGGAAAAACATATCACATTACCAAAGTGGACGCAGCCTTCCAGGAAGCCCAGCACGAGTCGAACACGGGCATTAAGAAAATTATAGTCAATTGCTCGAAGGCCGATACCGGCCCAAGGACATTGAGAAGACGAAAAGTATAACAAGTCGATTAGAAGACACAACACAAATCAGTTCTTGTGCACAAGACACAGTAGTAAAATTCCAAATAAAATTCAGTACAGTTCTTAAATTGGGCTTCCAGAGGGATTTGAACGGGTGGTGGAAATAAAACAAAAAGGTTTTGAAATTTGCAACAAAAATCGCTTCGCATTTTACTAAGTTTCTGCGTTTGCCCATAAAACATTTCATTTAAAAGGTGCACTCTTGAAAATCATTCCATAAAATATGAGTTTTTTTTATAACAGCATGTCTATGAACTATTTTCTATTAACGCTCTGGCTCTCTCGCTCATTGTGGCTCATAAGTAGATTTTATACATTCACATATATCGTATATATATATTTATAAAAATTATTGTACTTCGCTGCTTACAACAAACTATTTTACAATTTTACAAGAACAGAAAATGTGTGTATTTTGCTCACTAGAAATGTGTGTTTGTGTGTGTGTGTGTGTGTACCACGAGTATATATGCATGTATGCGCTAAGGAAGGAATCCATAATTAATAATCAATATTTAAGATAAACTAATAACAATTATAATAATGCGTAGTTTTAGTTGGTTTTTATAAGCATTTGACTACATCGCACACTTTGGAACTTTGCTTGGAGTTGAGTATAAATAATAATGGTAATGGTTGATATAATCAAGAATTAGAGCTAACTAATCAATATGCAGATATAAAGATATGCCATTTTGTGTCTGAGATGACTACTCGTAATTAATGGACTGTTTATGTTTATGTTTTTGCTTGTGGTTTCGGTTTCGGTTTCGGTTTCGGTTTCCTATAAACTCTAGCTGTGAGTGGTTGTTCCTTTTGTTCCCTGGGTTATTGTGAACTACAGTCGAGTTTTTCTTTTTGTTTGGCTATACTAGGTAGAATCGTCAGTGTCTGTCTGTAAACAAACAAAAAACTCCATCATGAAGGTAGTTTTGTCTTTTGGTGTTTGCTCCATTTCCTCCTACTCCGCTTCCTCCTTCTCCACAATTCATTTAACTTTGAAACTAGTTGTCATGTATTTGCATTTCCAGTTCGACATCCGAGAGATTTATTTGGCGCATTGAATTGATGAACATATAACGCGATGTGTAGATATATAGCCAGCGGAACCATTTCATTTGTGACTGATGCTCCAGCATGGCACTCCGCACAACCGCAGCCTCTTTCCAACTGAGAATGCACCTGAAAAAACACAAATGAAAGATTAGATAGTGCACTATATGTAGATATATTACCATTTTTGTCATACCAATGCGTTGACATGAAGCATGTGCATAGCAAGTCGAAGATGGATAAGTATTTTCGCACCAAATTGATCGAGTCCAAGGTATAAAACTTGCAATCTGCATATGGTATACACATAAAAAATGTCGTTATTTATAATACATATGTACATATATATAATGAAGGGCTATAAATAGATGGGCTATACAATTAGCATAGCAATTAACATGCCCCTATTGTTTGAGTGCCCGCGTGCGTGACTCACTCTCTTACCTTTGGGCAATAGGTTGGCCAAACAGAGTGACGCCGCCGCATAGTACACCGCACAGTGATTGGGATGGGAGCTGACGCCATCGCGATCGAACGTGAATATCGCCTGTATGTCGAGACTCTCAACGGTATGGAGTATCAGGCTGGCCACCGCATCCGGGCGCCATTCGACATTGGGATCGTCCGGCAAGTTGGTGGCATTCATCAAGACAATGTTCGACTCGGGAATGCCCAGTTTTATGCAGGCCCGCCACAGTTCCTCGCGCCTCAGCTTGGCCTGTTGCTCGTAGTTGCCTATGTATTGATTTAGATGGATCATAAATCTCTGCACTCTTACGGATATTGCGCTCGCAATCCGCCAAACTATGCTCACCATTGGACAGGCACAATATGTACACCTGGCAGTTGTCGCGTTGCGTCAGCGAGTAGATCAATGGGCCAAAGAACATACACTCGTCATCCGGATGGGCGGTGACCAGTAGGACCCGATCCATTTGCGCTGACTTGGGCAGGTGAACGCTACGCAACCGAAGGCCAGACTGCAGCATCTGCCTGAGACTGCCCGCCTCCCTCTCCCTCTCCCGATCCGCTCCATGTGCGCCAGCTCCAAGACGATTGTTGTTGGTCATCGTTGCCGGGGCGGAGAGCCAGAAGGTGAGCTTGTATAGGCCAAGGCATACTAGCAAGTATACCACACATGCAATCACTACGTGCTCCAGTGCTTCGGCAGACGTGGACTTGATGCGGCAGTAGATGGCTTGCGGGGTGAGCTGCTGCAGCTGCAATTGCCTCCAGGGAGACGATTCGTGGTTAATACTTGAATCGATGTTGCTTCTGATTTCGGCCAAGTACTCGCTTAACCAGTTAAATCTCATTTCTCATTGCGTCTCCCGTGAGTTGCGAAGGTTTTGGCAAAATTATTCACCAAAAATGGACATACAGTGAACCGAACCGAAACCGAGCGACAAACGACAAAAGAGTTAAATAAAACTATTACACTAGGGAGGAGACTGCTTAATTTGCAGTTTAATACTTGAAATTAATTTGGTTTTGTCCCCGTGCGGCGATTATTTTGCTAAACTCTGCATTTTATTTTTCTACGTGTTTTCGCCTGGCGAACAGGGGGCAGCAAGTAGTGATGGCCTGCTCGGCGAGTGCGTGGCATGTGCGTGAGTCACGTATTTTAGAACAATTTATAATGCACTTATCACAGGTTTGTCAGGTGTTTTGTGGATACTTGTGGCTTGAGTTATCAAATTAGCACTTAAATAAAAGTGAAAACTGTTTCCGTTAATTCATTATTCACTCGCAAGTCGCTGCTCGTGAGTCCACATCGTGTCATATCTAGCAGTCAGCTGTTTGGCCAGAGCGACACCATAGGGGTCCTCCGGTACTCAGTGTAGATGTACAACTAACAGAGTGGTATGGAAATGTCATTCGACATTGCATTGAAACCTGATCTAGGCGCACATGTATTTACAATTGATTGAGTGTGACATTTTGGGAAAATGTTTACTTCTCCAATTTAGCTTAACAGAACTTTAGAAAGAAAATTCAAATTTTCTACAGGAGTACCATTACTGCGGCCGTGTTCCCATTTTAAAAATACCACAAAAATACCAAAGGTCCGCTCGGTTACCCCTCTCCTCCTCTCTACGAATGCAGTGGATGGTTTTTTTTTTTAATTTTGAATCCAAATTATTTAGTTTCTTCAAGTTAAACGTATGAAGTTTAACAGTTTATTAAGTGAGCTTTAAGCATAATCGTTATACGCCCGCAATGCAATAGCCAAAACAGTAGAACACTTGCCAGAAGAGAACAACAGCAACAACAATAGCGTGCGGCAAATTTTAGGCAAATCATTTCAAGGCGGTCAAAAGCGTGTGGCGGCGTGCGAGAGGTGCATGTAGCACGTTATAATTAGGTTAACAGCAGCAGCATAATAGTGAGAAAGAATTAGAAGGCTATCATGGCGCATCAGGGCATGGATACGGCCTTATTCGAGCGTAGATTGCGCCCAATCTATGGTGAGTACCAGAATGCAATCGAGTGCAAGGTTAATCTATTATAAATAATTAATAAAACCCCCACTCGTAGATAATCTGGAGGTGGGTAACAACCGCAAGGCCCTGCAGGAATCCGAGAAGCTGCTACGCAAGCATCCCAGTATGCTCTGTGCACGTGCTCTGAAGGGCCTGGCACTGCTCCGCCTGGGACGATACGAAGAGAGCCACGGCTGCCTACAGGCAGTGGCCGAAGATAAACCCACGGACGATTCTACGCTCCAAGTTCTCTCGTTCTGTTACCGCGAAATGGAGCAATGTACGTATAGCATATAGTGTTGTGGATATTGTTGGATTGATGGGCGGATTATCCGTGGACAACAGAACGGAGAATGCTCATTAATTCTGAAACTAGGTCAACATAGATCCAATTCCCATTTGTGTAGGGTGTCAAAATATCCAGACGACTCTCATTTAAATGTTTGCAACATTTTCTGGTCATCCGCCTGTGCTCTCCCAGTTCCAACGTACCACAGAAACGCACACAAAAAGTGCTCACAAATCATATTTTTACACATTTCTTGGCACGCGCCCGGCTAATTAAAATCGCCTTCGCTTAGTCTGACGATGGCAACAGAGGAATGTGTGTGCCAACGTTCTGTACATAGCATTTGTGTACCTGTGCGTGGCTAATTATATTCCGTCCTCCTCATTGCAGTGAACAAAATTGTGGAGCTGTACCAGCACGCGGTGAAGAAGAATCCTGGCAACGAGGAGCTGCTGGCCCATCTCTTCATCTCGTATGTGCGCGTCGAGGACTACAAGGCCCAGCAGGCGGTGGCCCTGCAGCTGTACAAGGCCCAGCCGAAGAATGCCTATTACTTTTGGTCGGTGATCAGTGTGGTGTTCCAGGGTATACGCGGCCCCGAATCGGCAGTGCCAGAGAAACGAAAAATCTATCTGGGTCTGGCACAGCGCATGGTCGAGAAGCACATCAGGGAGGGAAAACTGGAGTCGGAGCAGGAGGCCTTTCTCTATCTGCACATCCTAAAGCTGCAGAAGAAGTTCCAGGAGGCCTGGGAATTCCTCACGGGCGAGCTGTGTGCCAAACTCTATCCGGGCGCTCCGGTTAGCATGAAGTTTGAGCTGCTCAAAGTTCTGGGCAACTGGCGGGAGCTGAATGAGCTGCTGCAACAGCTACTGGACGCAGAGTGAGATACCATTGGATATACCCATAATCCTGGAGAGATCTTCAATTAACTGTGGTCTTTTCTAGTCGGGATCGCTGGGACTACTACAAGGAATACATCCAAAGCTGTTTCGAGATACTTAAACTTCCAATCACAGAGGGCGCTACCGAAGAGAAGAAGTTCTCTCTATCCGCCTGCCAGGAGTTTCTGCAGGGCATTATTGATTCCTCGGAGCGGAAGAAGCGCGGCCCATATCTGGCCCGCCTGGAGCTCCACCAACGTATGCGTGCCCATCAGCTGCCGGCCGACCAGCTCATCGGTGACTTTGACGAGCTGGTCGTCGAGTACTTCTCCCTGTTTGCCGACAAATCCTGCTGTACCCATGATATTGCCCTGTTTTTGCCATCGGTTAGTATGAAGCAGCGCCAGGCGCTAGCCAACAAATTGCTGCTGGAGAGTGGCGTCAGCTCCACGTCATTGCCGATGAATGTAAGTGATTAATCATGCCCACATCGAATGCCACTAATTCGAATCAACCTTTGCAGAAGGAACAGATGCAGAAGCACATTTGTGCATTGCAAATCTCGAGGATGTGTGGTGCCCACATCGATCTGCCAATTGACCATTTGCTGGCCTTCTATACGGCCCTGAAGCTCCACTATGAGCACGGCAGGAGCACGTTTGGCAACAAGCTGCTTTCCACCGAGATGGGACCATCGGATCCGTACGCTCTGCTAGCGGCGAATGTGATGTACGACATCAGTTTACGGGAGAACAAGTCGGATTACCTGTTCGAGGCACTTTGCCTGCTGCAGTATGTGCTGCGGAACAGCACCAGCAATTTCCACGTCAAGCTGTTGAGCCTGAAGATCTATCACATGTTCGGCTGCCTGTTGGGGGCCCAGGAGATGTACGAGTATTTGGACATTAAGCAGATTCAGCTTGATTCGATGGGCTATGTGCATTGCCAGCTGCTGCCGTTGTGCGGACGCTTCTCTGGCGCTAGGAATAGCTATGATACAACAATGAAGTTCTTCACCAACAGCTACAAGGAGCGATTAGAGTACATCGCATTGACCTATCGCTTCTGCACGTTCTCCAAGATGGAAGAGTTCTTGAACTTCAAGGAGCGGCTAACAAACAGTTTGCAGTATGTGACCTGTTCGTTGGAGGCTCAGATCTGCGATCTGGTTAGCTGTTATGCCAATGTCCATCAGAATCTGTCCACCTATACGGTGATGAGCATTGAACCGGCCGAGGATCGCATTGCCTGGCATGAGTTGAGCGACAATCGGGATCTGGATGCCATCATTCGCTGGGATCCCCTGCACCAGGTCGATGCGGATGCCGAGCGCAAGGATTCCTTTGACCAGGAGATTGAAGTGCTGCAGCTTCGCTCGCTGATGCTCCGTTTGTATGCCACATTTATCGACTTGTATCATCCGCCGCCCATCACTAAGCCATCCCTGAGCGATGGTTCAAAGGAAGAAACACCCGCGCCGGCTGTGGAAAGTGCAACCTCGACCCTGGAGCTGTTGCGTGATTCCTGGACGGGACTGTATCAGCGTTTGAGGCTGATGAACTACAAACCGTTGCCGCAACAATTTCTAGTCAATTTGCTGCCCACGCGGCTGCATTTGCTGCTGGAACTGCCGTACGAGCGTTTCTTTGACGACCTGGCTCAACTGGTGCTCGACCTGCACAGCGGGGCGGCATCATTGGCGGCGCATTGCAAGAAGGTGGGCGACAATGTGATTGCCGTGATGGAGCTGTGTGTCCGGACAATCGAAGAGAGCAACGAATGGAATAACAAGGATGGTCTGTGGAGGCGACGGTATCAGCAGCAGAAAGTTGCTGCCAGTCTGGAGGTGAGTTCTCTTTACCACAAATCTAAATCGAATTGTGATGAGAAATTTCTTTGTCCCCCCTTAAGATGCTCTCACTCTATGCCTTCCTGCTGTCCGTGCTTAACGACAAGCTGCAGGTCAGCTCAAAGACCAAGGTCAAGAAGAAGCAGGGGGATAACAAAACTCAGGACACACCGCAGCCCGTCAGCGAGAAGGAGCGCAGTCAGATGGTACAGGAGCTGATGCGTCAGCTTAAACATAAACTAGAGGCCTGTGATGCAGCCATACGTAAGTGATTCAAACATAGATTATGCGCTCAAATTGAACTAATTCCACATTCACAATCGACATTTAGGGACCTGGAAAGCGCCGGTTCTGCCACGTGATCTTAGCTCCTTCATGGCGGACATGTCGCTGAAGCCCGAGGTGGAAGCAACACTAATTGGCGATGTTTCGGCCACATTCAAGGACTCGCACGAGCTAATGGTCACCGAGCTGCGGAACCTGCTGAAGGACAAAATCCGCATGGTGGCCAAATAGATGGTGGCCCTTTGCTGTGCAAAGGCCAAACCATCCAGCCGAAGGGTCGTCTTCTCCCCCACAATCAGGATCAAAGTTCATAGTTTGTTATTTAATTTTGTTAAAATATAAAAAACACCCCATTCTACTTCAAGTTTATCTCGAAAACAAAAGTTAAGTGTCGGCACTTTTCCCCGTAATCAATTTTCGGCATTTCTCTCGTACAACAGTCTAAAAGTTGTACAACATTTGTAAGACATTAAAAATCCCAATGTTTACCGCTTGCGTGTAAGTTAAATAAAAGAAAAGAAATTGTAAAAATTTAAACAAATCTCGAAGTTCTTAAATCTTTACTGTAGACTGTAGAAAGAGTTCCTCAAGAACTGATTATTTTTAATGTAGCTTTTGCTTAACTAACCGCCGTGGTATTCCCTGCTTTGAGCGTGTTCAAATAGTCGGCGGTTCGTGGATCATTTTGATGCTGTTGCGTTTGCAGATGAGCAACCAGATTGTGATTCCTTGCAAAGCTCTTGCCACAGAGTCGACAGCTATTCAGAGAGAGCGAATAAAAGTAAGACAATGGTTCAATGGCACACGACTTTGGTCTTTGGTATCTCCACTTACATGTGCGGCTTTTCGCCTGTGTGCGTTTTGTAGTGAACTTTCAGGACGCTGGCGTAGGTGAAGGTCTTGCCGCAAGTCTCACAGGCATAGGGACGCTCATTGCGATGGGTTCTAAAGGAGAGCGGGCAGATCTTAGCGAGTATTTGGAATAAAGGTTTCAGATTAACAAACCGTTCGTGCTTGACTAGGGAAGTGCGATCCGCAAAACTTCGCTGGCAATAATGACAGCTGTATGGCCGTGCGCCTGTGTGCTTGCGTATGTGGCGCATCAGTTGGTAGTTGACGTGGAAGGACATGCGACAGATTCTAATAGGATAAAGCCAGTTCGTCAGCTGTTTATATGGTAGCTCTATGCACTTACTCGCACTCGTAGGGGCGCTCGTTGCGATGTCGTCGCATGTGGGTGTCCAGTGTGCTCTTGCGGGGATAGCTATTGCCACACATATCACAGACATAGACTTTACCAGTACTGTTTGTGTTGGCTTGGACTGTCTGTGGGGCCGGAACAGTCTCAACGCTTAGGACAATGGCCGTTTCCTCGACTTCATCCGGGGGTTGTTCCTCCTCGATTAGATCATCCGTGGACCACATTCCCTCCTCCAGCACCTCAACTTCTAATTGTTCGTACTGTTCCGCCTCCGCAGGATGTTGGGGCGATGGGATAGCCTCGGGCTCCACCACCACACCTTTGCAGACATAATCTCGTAGGAAATCGTTCGAACGTTGACAAATCTGTCGGAATTTGTGGGCTAAGGTGAGAAAAGCTCTGCACTTGAGGCAAATTCTGGTGGGCAGATCATCAGTCCGTTTTATCTGAATATATGGGATGATTTAATTGGTTCAGCGTACAACAAAAAACGGAAGGGATTTTCCATACTTGTATTCCACTGAAACTTTCGATTTTCTCGCAGAGTGAAATGCCGCCATGGTCCTTTTCCTGGTCTCGCTCATATATGGACACCATTAGTTCGTCACCATCCTGCAGGCATGTCCGGCAGACAGACACCATGTCCAGCACAAGCTCCATGGTCCAATGATTATCTCAAAAAAGTAATATAACCACTAAAAAATCCGCTCCGCCAAAACAAAACCAAAATAAATGCTGCTTCTGCTTTGTTTACCCATTCGCCACGAAACGTAGACAATAACAACTACTTGTGCCATTCGCCTCCATTATAATTGTTATGATCGCCGGGAGTTAATATTTTTGTACTGTTATCAGGATAATTTAGGGATATATATAAGGATAATGGATAGATTACAGTCGCTTTGCCGCATTTGCATTGTGAATCCCGAGGATGATTCGCTCATTGCCACAGGCGAAGACTTTGACGAACTAATCAAATGCTGCACGGGGATTCAGGTAAGCAAAGAACTCAATTAGGTGTGTGAAATTGCTCTAACATATTCGTTTTAGTTGAGTGTAAGGCCCAATGGGCCAAGAAAAATATGCATTAGCTGCGAATTACTGATCCGATCGGCTCGCCAGCTGTGCTCCCTCTGCCAGGAGTCCGACGAAAAGCTGAAGAAGTACGAAAGCGATTTGGAGCTGCTGGAAGCTAAAAGGAATGTGGCCAATGAGGATGACATCTCAATTGATAGCGACATGGAGATGGTGCACGAGTATCTAGACTCCTATGTGGTGTCCCAGGGATCACCTGAGAGCACCACCGAAAGTCATTTCAGTGTAGAAATTAGCATTAAACGACCTTCACCTGCTCCAGTGGAACAAAAACCGCCTTGTGCTGTTGCTTCAGTAAAACAGAAACCTCAGTCAACATCAACGCTGGCCCTCAGTCCCGACTCAACTCCAGCAACCGAATTAAAGCCCAGCAAAGCTCCACGATTTGCCTGTCATGTTTGCCCAAATGTCTACCTGGAGAAGTCCAAGCTGACGGTTCACTTACTGGCCCACAACGATTTCAAGCGCCACGAGTGCGAGTAAGCCCATCCTTGATAATCCTTGGAGATGAATCTCTAATGACATGATTTCCTACAGGATCTGCCAGAAAGGCTTCCATCAGACAACGTCGCTAAAGCGTCACATGAACACGCACACGGGCCAACGACCTTATAAATGTTTCTTTTGTGATTCCAGATTTGCCGATCCCTCCACACGGATTAAGCACGAGCGGTAACTAAAGTTTATTACAATCTTAATCTTATTCCGAGTGCCCGTCTGTCTGTCTTACAGGATTCACACTAATGAAAAGCCATACAAGTGCAAATTTTGTGGCAAAGTATTCGCGTACTCCAATGTGCTCAGGGGGCACCTCAAAACGCACACGGGCGAGCGGCCCTATAAATGCCAGCACTGCAAGCAGTCGTTCTCCCAAATGCACCACAAGAATACTCACGAAAAGTCGCACAGAATGAAGGACACGGAAGACACCATCACAGTGATTGCAGTGGAGGAGGAGTAAATAGACATCGTGTGCGTAGTTCAGGGCAGCTTTATAGTACAACAAAAAGATACAAACTTGGTAGATTATTTGATAGGTGAGCAAGATATAGGACCTACACATCTAAGAATATTTACACTTGTTTTATACAGAAGATGAATTACACAATTCCTTCCTTTTGCACTTTTCGGATAGTAAAATTATACTAGTTGACTCCTAAGTACTATCAGCTAAGGAAATACAAGTTACAGGCCTGGTTAAATCTTTATGTTACTACAAAAAAACTGCACATCAGTTGCACACTAAAATTAATTTAATAAAACTATATGTAAAGTAATTTAAAAACGCAGGCATTTTTCATACTCCAACGACAAAGGCATATTTGGTCGCTGTAAAACTATGACTAACTGAGAAACTCGGGAACTTCATCTTTAATGCCATGTGATTCTGCAGTATTTTCCGTATCCGTTTCTAAAGACTTCCAGGGGCCGCGCTTCTCGTGCGTCACCCGATGGAGGCGCATTTTGTAGGCCTTGACAAAGCCCTTGCCACACAGATCGCAGCTGGAAAAAGAGAAAAACAAGTATAAGAGGCTCATCCCAGGCATATGTATGTTTTTGGCTTGCTTACACATGCGGTTTCTCGCCTGTGTGGATCATCTTGTGAAACTTTAAATTATCCGAATAAGTGAAAGTTCTAGCACAGACATCGCACTCATAGGGACGCTCCTTTGTGTGAATTCTGCAAATCCGATATATATATTTAATTGTACAAGTTCTGTATGCTCTGATTTATTACCTGTGATGTTTGGTCTTGGTGGAGCGATCTGCAAAGGCAGCTGGACAGTAGTTGCACTTGTACGGCCGATTCCCTGTATGCGTGTTCATGTGCCTCACCAACTGTTGATTCTGTACAAAGCCACGTCCACAGATTCTGCAAGCATACAAGAGATAGTATTACAGCGATTCATTGGCTTACGCAGCAGCAGGGGAAACATACTCGCATTCGTGCGGCTTGACGCCACTGTGGAACTTCATGTGCTCGGTGAGACGGGCCTGGGTCGGATAAATATTACCGCATACATCGCATATGTACGTGCTGAGCTTGTCCCGCGGCTTGCGTCCCAGCTTCTTCTCGAAGTTAGCCCCGTCCAAGGCAATTAATCCGAGTTTGCCTGAACGTTTAGCCCGCGACGCACGCGATCGATTCAATGTCTTCGGTTTATCGTCGACCATGTCGCTGTGGGCGTCCGAGCTGAGTATATCGTCGGCCATATCATCGTCCGGCGGTTCGACTGGGTAGACGTTGCGGGAGCGTGTTCTGGGGGATTTTCCTGCTGGGTCGTCTGTACTGTGCACGGGTGTGGATTCGTTTTCGTTGGTCAACAGTTCATATTCCTCGTATTCGGTATACGTTTCCGGATCCTCGATCACAGTTTGTGCGTCTTCGTAGACCACGCTGGTCTCCGTGTCGTCCTCCCCAGTGACATCGTATACAATTGCATCAAGCCCCTCGCCCTCTCCTCCGACGTCATCTTCGTGCGGCGTAACTATAAAGCTGACAGTCTCTTCCTGTGGCTCCTCCTCATCCTCTACCTTGACGTTAGACATGTCTAGTTGATCTGTGTGTTCCTCCAATATCTTGACGATATTTTCTGTAGCAAAGTCCTCGACACTAGAGACACTCTCTTCGCCGCCGCGCCTGGCCAGCATGTCCGAGATGTGCTGGTGCGATCTTTGGCAGGTCTGGCGGAACTTGAAGGCCAAGCGCAGGCAGCGCACACATTTACTGCACATCTTGTCCGGGAAGTTGTCATCGGCACTGACCTACGTTATATATATTGTGGCAACAATTTTGGAATTTATGGATCACTGGATCTACTTACTGGAATCCCTGCGCAGATGTGGAGCATCTGGTCCAGACGTGTGTTGGCATTTTGGCTGAATATATCCTGGAGCATGTCCTCGCTGTCGGCATGATTATTCAGGCACACGCGACAAACAATCCACCCTTCATTTGAGTCCATTTTCATTTTTTTGGGAACAGAGCATAACCGAATCAAAGAGTTTTTGTAGTTGTCAAAATTTCAACAGCTGAAGCAAAGCATCTTTGGCCATTCACAGCTGCACTTCACTGCCATTCACATTCCCCGCCGCCATCATTCGCATTGGAGCGTAAACAATTTAATCAATCTATTAAATTTAATGTTTAAAGGTATATTTAAGAACAAAAGGTATAGAAACCTCCGTACTCAAGTTTTTTTAAATTAATTATTTATTCCAATGGAGGAATATGGTCTCCAATCCTTGACGGAGCCCGATTAACCCATTGTAGACCAAGAGGGTATTATAATTTTCCACCGAATATAATGAAAATTGAATCATTTTAGCATGAATCTGCAATATGAATTTACAATTAGTAATATTTTCCGCCATTTACCTAAAATGGATTGAATGTTTTAATAGAGGGGGGTTTAGTTGGCTAAGTTCGATTTCTTATCGATATACGTCCGCGGTTACACTGGTTGCAATCTTTTCTTGGCGTCGTATTCTTTTAACTGGTGTATTGATTTTGAAATAATTCGACAAAATGCGAGACTCAGAGCCAACAGATGTTGCACCGCGACAAAACTGGATAGTGTGCCGTTTGTGTCTGACGCAGCCCAAGGAGGCCATGTCCAGCATTTTCAGCGATGATGCGACGAAGGATGTGACAAACATGATCAAAACTTGTGGCGGTGTTCCAGTAAGTTTATATAAATTTCTTTCCATTCTAGCGATCAATAAACAGCATTTAATTTGCAGATCAAGAAGTTCGATCACTTCCCGGACAAAATATGCACCAGGTGCCTGAAGGTTCTGCACATTTCGTTCAGGTTTCGTCAGACATGCCAGCAGGCGTACAAACACCTCCAAAAGTTCGTAGGCCCCATCGAAGTAGAGCAGAAGGCCGACGATGATTTTCCAAATGCGGCGCAAGAAGCTCCAGTGGCTGAAGAGGATGATGAGGAGCTGGTCGATGGCCACTATGAGCAAATCGAAGAAAATATGCCAACCACTCATGAGCTCGCCGAGGCGCAGGCCTTTACCGACGACATGGAGGAGGGCATATTGGTGGAACTCGTAAAGGAGGAGGGTGTCCGTGTGAAGAGCGAGCAGGTGGAGGAAGATGTCATCATTGAGGAGCTATACGATGTCTACGATCCCTACGACGGGGAGGGTGACATTGTAGCAGATGGGATCTACGAACAGGAACGGGAGCAAGAGATGGTCGAGCACTCGTTGTCTGGTCTCTCGGCGGACATTGAGTATCTGGAGCACGTCGAACAGGAGCAGGAACAAGAGCCGGATCAGGATCAACTGACAGAGAGCGCCAACGAGGACGAGATGGAAGGTACAAACTCAGCCGAAGAGGAATTTCTACCAGCCAAACCACTCCGTGGTCTAGCACCCAAACGACGCATGAACACTCGCGCCAAGGCAGCAACAGCAACGGTCACATCAGGAGCCGCCTCCAGGGGTGGCGTTCGAAGCAGTCCGTTGAAGATAAAACGTGGCAACAACGACACAACCACCGATGCTGATGTGACCCTCACAATTGGCGACGACCTGGTGCGAAAACACGGCATCAAAACAAAGGGTGGACACAAAATCCTTGTCGGCGACAAGAAGGAGTTCAAGTACATCTGCGACATGTGCGGAAATATGTATCCATCCCAGAGCCGCCTCACCGAGCACATTAAAATCCATTCGGGTGTAAAGCCGCACGAGTGCGAGTAAGTATCTTTTATGGACATTTTTGGACTCAAATTGAGTTTTGTTTTATTTTTTTTTGGCAGAATTTGCGGGCATTGCTTTGCCCAGGCCCAGCAGCTGGCGCGTCACATGAATACGCATACAGGGAATCGGCCGTACAAGTGCAGCTATTGTCCGGCCGCCTTTGCAGATCTCTCCACGCGCAACAAGCATCACAGGTAAGTGATGTCCATGACGCAATCTTACAATTGTAATTCATGCTTCGATCTACCATAGAATCCACACAAATGAGCGTCCGTACGAGTGCGATGTGTGCCACAAGACCTTCACTTATACCAATACACTCAAGTTCCACAAGATGATCCATACTGGAGAGAAGCCCCACGTGTAAGTGGCAGCAGCTGACGTCTCCCTACATTCCTTGGCTAATATCTCTACCTCTTTTCTGTCCCTCCGTAGTTGCGAGATTTGCGGCAAGGGCTTCCCGCAGGCATATAAGCTGCGTAACCACCGGGTGGTGCATCAAAAACGGGGCAACACCAGGGACCCTGCCGCTGCCCTGATGCCCTATGATACGGCCAACATTGTTGGCATTGAGATGTAGATATCGGCATCTAATCAAAACTTGCAAGATTAAACATATAAAACTGTAATTACAAATCTAATTATATTAAGAATCTTAAGTTTAGCCTAATTATGCGGAAATAAATTAATTATAGCTGCGCAGATGGTCTTGGCATCGGTCTCATCGGGATAGAGCTGCAGCACGGCGTGCACCTGATGCGGCGGAAAGAGGCTGCTCAGGTGATAGCGCAACAGACGACGCTGCTCTTCGCGCGGCATTTGCGTGGCAGCGTGAAGCTCCTCGTTGATGCGCGAATCAGAGGCGGACAGGTGCGAGAAATTGTGTGCGGGCAGTGGAAGGGCTAGTCCTTGGTCCGTCACTGGAGCGGACGGAGTGCGCGTCAGATACTGATGATGATGGAAGTTGGAGCTCTGCTGTTGCTGTAGCGACTGCTGCTGCTGCAGGGGAGCACTGTAGGTGGGCACTAGGAGGCGATAGGCGGGCGGCGGTTGTTGGCGTTGCAGCTTCTTGTGGCGATTCGGTTGATTGTCTGTGGCCGTCTCGGAGACCTCCAGTTGGCTGGTAAAGGCCTGGCACAGCTGCTGCTGTGACACTTTCTCAATTGTGTTTGACTTGGTCCGGCTCAGGGGCTCTCGGTTGATCAGGGAATTGATTTTGATATTGTTCCCGATATGGCCACTTGTCAGGGGCTGGCCTCCGTTGGTGTGCAGCGGCGCACTGTGCGAGGCCTGGAGTGGCAGTCGTTGCAGCAATGGACACGGTTGCTGATGCCGGAACTTGCATTTCTGGCCGTAGGTGCATTTTTTGCCGTAGGGACACAGCTGCTGGGCATCGGCCATTTTCTGCTGCGTCTGCGAGTACAGAAACTGATCCAGGGTGGGACCAGAACGCCCTAGGGGGTCGTCGGGCGGCATGAATATGTCATTCACAAACGAATACATGAGTAAACGTTCCTGTACCACTTTTCTGTACTCATTGCTTTCCAAAATTAAGTCTCTATAGTTATCGTTGGACACCACAATGCCGTCCGTCTCTACCGCCAGCTTGAGTATGAACCGATCGTCGTAGCAGGAGACGCGCTTCCCATCCAGATGCCTGGATGGTGTGAACACTAATACCCGCTCATGCTCCAGTTCATAAAGCAGCTCCTGATCGCTGATATTGTTGTTGGCCATCTCCTTGCGCCAATTGGGCACAAAGGCGGTGATGTCGCGATGGCCTCGCTGCCGGAACCAGTCCACACAGATGCGTATGCCGCGGCAGGAGAAGATTAGGTTGTTGCCATGCGATAAGGCCACATTGCTGCCATCGATCACAATGTGTCGCAGTGATCCCACGCCGCCAGTGGATAGGGCAGTTGAACTGGTTATGTGGTGGTTGCTGTTCGTTAGACTATTGCTGTTTGTGGCAGGTCGGGGGGCGTCCGCCGTCAGTTTGATAAGCTCAGCCAGCAACTCATTCTGTTTAGCCTCTGATCCCAGGCGAGTTAGAGCCGAGTGTATCGACTGATCACTGTACCCCAACTTCTTGGCAAACTCCAAATTCTGTCGCTCTGTGGTACTCAAGTCGTCATCGTCGCTACTTTCTTGTTGCTGCTGTTGTGGCTGCGGTGAAGACAGGGGCTGAAGCAGCGACGATTGTTGTTGCTGCTGCTGCTGCTGTGGCTCAGGTTTTTGCTGTTCCTGCACTTCACAATTCATTTTGATGCGCATTTAGTTGATCAGCTAATGGATCCCCTGTAACTCCTTCCCTCACAAGTCTGTAAGCCCCAATTTAACGTGTTTTTTAGCTATTTTTGCAACAAGTTCCGTCTATTTACATTTATTTACAGCAGTGTGACCGCGGATTTAACGATAAAATATACCGTCCGACCATCAGAAAAATACCGAAATGTACCGTCTCATTTTCAAAATATACGGTTAGAGAAAACGAGCTTTACCAAATTAGCCCCCTCAATTTAAAAAGGAGTTTAAAGGGAGTTTAACAGAGCAACAAAGCTGGAACTGAAGCCGCGCCGAAGGGGCGCGTAAAGGGTTCTAAGTCATCTTATCTGCCAACCTGTTTAAAGTTGCAGTCACATTTTTGTGACTTTCCAGTCGATTCAAAGAATCGATTTACAGCACTTAAACGATAGGCGCGCAATTTGGAAGTTAAATAAAACTCAATATTAGGTTTAATAACATGCATAAACATTTGTTCTTTATTTTATAATGTTGTACATGAAGTATATCATAGTTAGTATATAGTATTAACAATCGTTTTTTTGCCGCTAATCTCAACATTTATATCGTAGATCTCACTGTTTTATTTTCAAAATAAAGTACACATCGCATTGGATTCTTTGTTGTACGTTTGGTCCCTCTTTTCATGCCAAAAAAGAGTGAATTAATTAGCTATTTAATAATTGAATAGGTAATCAATCAATCTATTAGGTATAAGTGGTCAAATCTATCCTTGTTATATAGATATCTATACGCTATGCTTTGAAGTGCAATTGATTAAATGCATATACAAAAACTTTCAGCTACAATAAAGTAATTTCATTAATTTTCGTTCGCTTTCCCCCCCTTTTTCTGTTTTTGGCCAAGTCATGTGGCAATTAGTGTGACAGCCACACCAAGAACAAAAACTATAAAAAAATGGACGTAAAGTTTACTACGTGTCTTGTGTGTGTGTGTGTGTGTGCGTGTCAGAGTCAGAGTGTCTGAGTCGCACCCAGGGAGTCTCTCAAAAGTTACGAGTCATTCATTTGGCAAGCAGCTTCTGTAAATTTCCTTCAAAAGGGTAAGAAGGATGCGTTTTGAGTGGCGAAGAAAACGAAACCTTTTCTGCGAGTCAGACAAGTGCTAAAAATTTGTGCTTACGCGTGTTCTGTCCCAATCTTTTGCCACTGACGTTGCACCGTTTATTATGTCCGTCATCAAATTTATTGTTGCACTCGGAGCGTGTCTGGATTTTTATGTGGGAATTTTTCATGGTTAACGGGTAATTAGTAAAGTTTTTCCATTGCCAACCATTCTTTGATGTTTTTGTCTTTTGTGGTCGGTCAATGTGGTTTTTTTTGTGGCCAATCGACAAAAGCGTAAAGCCACAGAAAATATGCTCAAAGATGAGTAAATTCTTTGGGATAAAATCAAGTTTGGCTAGTGTTCAAGATGCTCAAGATGAGCCCCAAGGTCGTAAACATATCCTGATGCTCTGTTAACCTCAAACAAGGCCTCCAATAAACCCAAATCCTAGTCATTTCCGTAACGTAATCTTCTGTGTCTTAAATTCAACTCAATTTGGAGTACATTCTTCAACATAAAAATAGGAACTTGGAGCTAATTTTCCATTTCAATAGAACCGCTTACTCATAAGTAATTCGTCTGGCTTTGTCATATAAAGTACACCCTGTCTCCCTGGCCATGGCAGCCAGAAGGCTGCTAGACTGCTTGATGGGACTGCTGTGCATCATCAGAGCCGAGAGGAGCCTGGTTGCCAGGCAATTGATGAGCTCTCATCATGGCCTGCCAATTTGTCAAACGATAATTTCTGGCCCAACGAACTTTGTCATTTATCAGTTGTTTAATTTTTAAAAGCATTTCCAGGTCGGTAGGATAAAGCGCTCACGCCCTCACAAGTGTCCTTGTTTGCTCTTTAGGCCTTCTTGATGTCCCCAAAAAGAAAACACACCGAAATGTTACTCACATCCGATGATGGCGGTTGGTTGCCTAAGCTGATTAACATTAAGACTCTCCTCACTCACAAAGTGCAGAATGTGTTTGCTTTGGGTTTGTGATGCCCCAATACATATGGCACTACGTGTATGGACGATAGACATTTTCGGGTTTGTCAAGAGCTTAAATTTATGCCCAGGACTTGTCGTTATTGTGGCTGAGAACCAGGTTTCTTTAAACGTTCCATTTTGCTCTAATTTAATGGGCGGGAAAACTCTTTTGGGCCTTTATCTCCGGGACACGGGGTCGGAATCGCTGTGTGCTTCCCCTAGAATTGTTATGCGATTCCTTTTATTGTTTCTTTACGCTTTGTTCGTGTGCACTGCACCCAGTTTTCTCCGCTGCCGTTTTTATTATTACAGCCTCGAGGTACGCTACCCCAAAAAAGAGGACACAAAAGATGGCCATCTCCGCCAAAAAAGAATATAAGAAAAGTCACTCAGTTTCTCTGTCTATATGTCTGTCTGTCTGTCCGTCCGTCGGTTGGTTAAATGCTCCCACGCTGTCAATATTCGAAATTGGCATACATATATATGTATATATGTACGTATGTATATGTACATACCCGCATGTGGATATGAGTCTGGGTGTTAGCAACAATATCGGTTCGAACCCAGGAACACTTGCAAAAGATTCGCCCTTTAGTCGTATTTCTTTCTTTCTTTACCCTCCATTCTGTGGCATGAGGGTTATGGTTGGTTTTTTTTGCGACAAACAAAAGGTTGTTGCATGGCATGGTGGCATCCAGTCGGATTGCATTTTAAATTGAATTGCCTTTGGTGTGGCATACAAATGGAAATTTATTGAGATGTACGTATGAAAAAAGCGCGGAAATCCCACAATTGTGGGCCAGCTTTTTCGATTAATGGATACAATTTTCCTCACATTTCACTCTCATGGCAGGCATTTATTTGTTGTGCCAACTGTTGATCGTTAAATTGAAGTTTTAAAATTTAGACTGTTGAAAACATGAAAGATTTCTTTGTAATAAAAATAAACTTAAAATGTTTTCTGGCGGCTAATGATTGCTGCCATGGCAATTGCTTGGAAAAATCTGTTACATTATTCAATCCCACTGTGCACACTGTGGCAACATAATAGAGCCATGCCCCATGTCCCATGCATCCTCTTCCGTTCCAGCAGCCACTTCAGAAACTGCAAAGGCAACAAAAAATGCAGAGACGGAAGACTGGAGAGAAACGTTTAAACAGCACAAATTCCGCTGCATTCCGATTTGTGTGACGACTCTGTGTATGTGTGGGGTCTGTATCTACGCGAGTGGGGCAGGATGCAGGATGCAGTATGCAGGATACCGCCACACTCTTGGTTATTTTTGTTGGCCAACTAAATCGTCAACATCAACATTGTTGCAGACCGTGTTGACATTTAGCATTGCAATGCCACCAGTAGGAGAAGAGTAAATACCAACTGAAAGGAAAAGTAAACGAAAGGATCCACCGAGCCCCCAGGCCGTGAAACAGCCCCATCTAGAGCCTCTCTAGGCATTTATATAGTACTCCCGCTTCTTCTGGCACTTTTCATACGCAATGTAGCACAGGGCGATGGTGATAAGGACCAGTATGGTGATTCCCATTATAATGCTAACCAGGATAATCTCATCGTTGATGCTCTTGTAGGAGTGACCTGCACAGAGAGAGAAAGGAAACAGATTAAACAGAATGAGAACAGACATAACGCCAGAAAAGACACGACAACAGATAAAACAGAGTAAGAGTTGATGGGGAAAGATGCAAAAAGATAAAAGAGATTCAGGAGTGGGAAAGATTTAGAGGCCGCTTTGACAAATTACAGGCAATTATTCTTGTCAGGTGGGGGGCGGCCGGAAGGGAGGGATGTTTTTGCTGGGCTCCTCCTGTTGTTTGTCAATCAACAATTCGGTTTGTTTGGGACTCTCATGCATATTCAAGCCACAGGAGGAGCATGAGGTGGTGCCTCCTGGACAACAATGTATGTGGCCAGACCATGACAAATGCATTGTTGTAAAAAATAAACGATGGTCATACATATGCTCGAAGGCAATCCCACCCACTCGCTGAAACAAACAGAAAACAGACATAAAAATAAGCAATAAACAAAAATAATATAAAAATTGAACATGAATTTCGGATTTTTATTATAAAAGCCATTTCAATATTTTACGATGCAAAACTCGCAGTACATGTATTTTCGGATTATTAATGCAAAAAGAACAGATGTACGAGTATGGAGAGAGAGCAAGAAAATATTCCCAAATTTAAGCATTTAAGAATTCATGATTCCGTTAATATTAATATTAAACTAAATTCTCAATTGTATGATTCAAAAAAATATGTCAAGAGTTCCACATTATAATGATTTTGGAGTTGATTTTCGAAATATATCGTACCTTTGATTTTATTTGAACAATTAAAAAGATTTGTAGCTAATTTTATTGAGAACTAATGCCACTAAAGAACTAACGGTTAAAAATACTAAAAAAAATAGTAGAAAACTTCAACTTTGGATTGATATATCTTCAGGGAAATCTACGCTACTGACACGAATCAAAAATACTGTAAAAGGTTTTTTAAACCATTAGAAATTAATTTTTTAAAAACATTTTGTGAGTGTTTTGCAAAATCCAAGTACGAGGACTTGATCTAAGCATCCAGGCTAACAAACTTATTTTTGTTTCGCTCAAAATACAAAACGACTGTCGCACAGTGCTATTTTCAATAAACGAATTACCAGAATAATCGACCAATTAATTATTGGGGGGGGCTGTGTTTTCCCGTAAATACATTTGTAAATATAACAATTTCCTGCATTCAATAAATTAGCAGAATTTCCGCGATTCATTTTAAACGAAAGCCATTCGTTATAATATATGTTATGCCCACCACCCGCCAAATTTCAATTTGTTGAAATCCTCCAAGCGATGCTTGTTTCTTTTTTGTGGCCCTGCCAAATAGATGGCTCATTGTTCGGGCCCCATTTGGGGCCAGATGTTTGCCTTATGCGTAATTTAACACATAATCGATGGAGCGTTCAGCTCAAAGAGCAGAACACACACAACATCAAGCGAATTAGAGCCTTGTTTAGAGGCAGAGGTCCCGACGACGCCAACCGCTACAGATTTGTTAATTAGACTTCTCGTATGACAAAGACGTCTCAAAGCCGAAATGTCCTACGGCCACTAGCCAATGGCTGACCATAAATCTCATATGCCTTCTGCCTGTATGCGTGTGTGGTCAATGGACTTGATTGCTGGCATCTAACCGTTGAGTGCTCCTCATGGTTCATGGCCATTCGCTTTCCTGATAAATTGGCAATCATTTCGATTGTTTTTCTCTGCCGTGGCCAACCGTGACCAACCGTGACCTGCCTTACCTGCTGCCCAGGCAATAAAATTCAAAAGCCTTTCTGCGATTTATTGCATTTTTTGAAGTGCTAATAGACTACAGCTTACGATTTCTTCCAGGATGGACTGTAGAAGAAGTAGACTCAAGAAAAGCAACCCATTGAATCGGGTTTTTTACTGGTGATTACCATTTCTTTGGAGTTTGTTTTGAACTAATAAATCTTACATTTCGAAGGATAATGATACGGAAATTTGAGTGAATTTAACCAGATGAAAGATGAGAGCAATCAGAGCACCCTGGACACGTTTTCCTCTATTAAAAGGACCAGGATATTCATTTAGAGATTTAAAGCACTTCCTTTCGAATATGATTAATGTCTGTTCGACTGGTACTCATCCCACAACGAAGTTGAATGGAAATTCGAATCATTATCAAAAGTTTGCAGTGCGGTTAAAGTTCTGTGGACTTCCATCCCATACACTCGTACAAATTGGTGGGCCATTCATATTTGAGTTCCCACAAATTGCTTGAAACATCAAAAGCGCAATAAAACTTTCGGCAAAACTTAAGAATAAAACGAAGACCATGAAGTGAGAGAGAGAGTGGGACAGCAGGACGTCCGTCCAGGACAGGCGGCATATGAAATAATTCATAGATATGCCAAGGGCGGTAGGCGTACCGCCATAACTTTTTTGCCTGTCAAACCGTGAATTATGAAAGAATGAAATATGCAAAATTCATGAAGGAAATCCAAAAATGGAAACTGTCAGAGCCCACAACCTAACTAAGCGTAAATTATTTCGATATACGAATGGATGAGCCCACTGGATGGGCGACACTCAAGGACACATGTCCTGCTCCCTGTTCTCCTGCTCGCCTGTTCTCAGATTTGTATTAAATTTCGTTGATTGTTTTTCCCAGAAATCCTAACAGTCAATAGAGTCATTTGACAGATTATGTGAATAGACATGGCATACAAAAAAATAAGAAAGGACCAGCCAGTATTCATCTAAGTATGGTTATGTAATATCGGTTTCTTGTATGCGGGCTTATATGTGCGTCGTTTGTTTTGCTGTTGTCCTGTCAGTGACATTCTTTCCAAGTGTTTTGTGGCCACAAGGATGTGGCCAACATTAAGGAATTTCATTTGAGCCAGATTGAAGCGGAGAACCTTTTTCCAAGATGTAGGGGTGCGACCCCTCACTTTCCGCTTTAATGTTGGTCTGCGGAAAGCTTTCTTTAATTTCAATTTGACCTTCCCGTTGATACCGATTGTGTTTTTCGGGTTGGCATGGAGTCGGAATAGAGTGGGAAAATAGCAATTAAATGACATCAAAGTGTTTCTCGATTTCAATTTCCGCTCCTCGCCCCCCTGTTGTTGGTAGTCCCTGCTGATTGACGGTGGCCTAATTTGCCGGGATAATGGAATACATATTTAATAAATGCGGATGGCTACCTGCCCCCTCCTCCCCTTCTAATGTTTGGCTGTCATCAAAAACGCGACAGACGTGATCCTGCAAAATCTATGGTAAACCTTAAGTGATTCCCATAATGGAAATTATGATAATTAGCCGGGGATATCGAGGCATGTTTCTTTTTTCAAACAGAGGCCAATACTACCACAAAAACTCAGCATGCCATTAGAACTAAGCATAGAATGTCTTTCCGTTTAAACTCCAAATATATGCACACTAACATATAACCCGTATCCCATTAGAAATATAGAGCTTCGTTCTGTTTTAAGTCTAAACACAATTCAGTAAATTCACGAAAATGGCCGAACCAAATAAGTAAGTTTATTTAAATACGAGGAGGGCACCCCCGGCTCCCTCGCCTAGGTTTGATAACCATTGAATGAATTCGTCTTTCAAACCAGACCAGAGCCAGACGAGAAAATCCCCGTTAAAAGGTGCATGAAAAATTGCTGCCTTTACCATTGGAGGGGAAAAGTAACAGTTCTTGTTCCACTAATACTTTTACCATTGCTGGTCCACGGCTGTCTTACACAATCGCCGGTGAGTAGCCGCTTTATCCGCTATTTCTCACACAATATGCATTTGGTGTTTGATCTTTTAGGAAATTATTTGCTTGTATTTGTTGGTCAATATGGCCATCTTTTGGATAACCGAGGCCATTCCTCTATACTTGACATCGCTAATGCCAATCATGTATTTGCCATTTGCTAACTATTTGGTGAGTGAATTCGAATTGAGAGAAACAAACATAATTTGAATCAATCCCTATGTCCCTAAGAGCTCCGATGATGTGACCAAGCACTACTTCTCCGGGACTGTGGTGATGTTCTATGGCGGCCTAGTCGTTGCATTGGCCATCGAATACTGCAATCTTCATCAACGGATTGCCCTGCGAACGATCATCATTGTGGGCTGCAGTCCCAGGCGGTAAGAGTGGATGCCACTGATGATGCTTTTTCCAAACCAAAACCCCATTTCAGTTTGCTCGCCGGCATGATGATGGTTAGTTCTTTTATGAGCTTATGGATATCGAATTCGGCGGGAACGGCCATGATGTGCCCCATTGTAAAGGCAGTGCTTAATGAAATGGATTCTGAGAAAATCTTTGATGTATACATGACCCAAGAGGAGGAACACATGGAGGAGGGCGAGTGAGTCGATGTTCGTATGAATATTCATACATTTGCTAACGTTTCAGTTGATCTTTTGGCAGGCCCCCGCACCTGTCAAAGGTGGCCATGTCCTTCTACTTTGGCGTTGCCTATTCGGCCACTGTGGGCGGGTGTGGCACCCTGATTGGCACCGGCACAAATCTGGTCTTTAAGGGTATATATGAAACGTGAGAAAGTTTTCCCTTTGCATTAGGAAAATGCCTAACCATTCTCATTCCCCTAGAACCTTTCCCTCATCCAAGGAGGAGGTCAGTTTCCCGCTTTTCATGGCCTATTCGATTCCGCTTGTTGTGATCGCTCTCATGATTACCATGTACTTAAGCCTCCTGCTCACCCACATGGCTCTCTTTCGATCAGGGAGCAAGTCGGGCCAGGCTCTGAAACAGGCCACCAGGAATAAGGACCAAGTGGAGACCGTCCTGCGCGGCCGCCTCGAGGCTCTGGGTCCCATGAGCTGTCATGAAATTCAGGTGGTTATCATATTCACATTGATGATTGTATTGCTCTTCACCCGCAAGCCGGGCGTCTTTACGGGCTGGAGTTCCCTTCTTAGTGCCATGTAAGTGGTGTGGATATATCTTTTGAAAGATTCTTGGGCTTTATCCTCCTATCTTAGGCCTGTTGGAACATCCTCAACGGTTTGTATTTGTGTGATTTTACTGTTCGCATTGCCCACTCAGTACACATTCTTCAAATATTGCTGTGGCAAGGGTGAGTCCTTCCTTCTCTCTCTCCTTCTATTTATCACCTTTAATATCCTTTTTGCAGCTCCTTTCCCCGGTCAAACCATCGATTCTCTATTGTCGTGGGAATTCTTGCATCGTACACTGCCGTGGGGACTCTGCTTTCTCTTGGGTACGTGTCCATGGATCTGATGTGTCTCTTATAACAGATCGTATCCCCCCGTCCAGGTGGTGGCTTTGCTTTGGCCGAGGCCTGTAAAGTGAGCGGAGTGACCAAATATATTGCCAAGGCCATGTCGGGTATCCAGGTATTGCCGAGTCGACTGGTGCTGCTGTTGATACTGATGTTCACCTTGTTCTGCTCCGCCTTCACTTCGAACGTGGTGGTGGCCAACATTGTCTTACCAATTTACTGTGAATTGGTAAGCGAATATCTTTTTAAATATCCTCCAGCTCGTATAACCTCTCTGCCCATAGGCGTTTCACCTGGAAGAACATCCTCTGCTGGTCACTCTGCCCCCAACCCTGATCACAAGTTTGGTATTTCTGTTGCCAGTGAGCACTCCACCAAATGCCATCATTTGTGGCTACGGTAACATCAAGACCAAATATTTGGTAGGCTAATCCTTGGGTCACTTTTTATACATTTCCTCAACCGATTGATCTCTTCCTATTTCTTGCTCTTGCAGATAAAAGCTGGCTTATTGCCCACATTCTGGGGACTCTTTTGGGTCTATCTGAATAGCGTCACTTGGGGAATGGTTGTCTTTCCCGAAATGTCTTCCTTCCCAGACTGGGCCAAGGAATACAAAAACAAGACCAAAGCTGGTATTCTGTTAGATAACATTCCGGTCTTTAATTAAATCCTTTAGATCGTACTCTCTAAATTATTACGTTGATCAAATAAAATTCTATAGAATCAGGATTTTTTAGAGGAGATGCTATTTTGCACCTTACTCTTGAAATAAAAGTATAAATAATAAAACAGAAGCAACCGCTTAAGGCACTTATTCCCTTGAGAAAATATACTACTCTCTGGTGATGTATGTATGCTTCTCAAATAGATCTAAGTACTTTGTTATATTTGGAGCGAATTAAGTGGCCGCAAGACGATGAATCTGCAAAGTGGAAAGTGTGTGGAACAGGTACCCAGAAAGTAGAAATAACAGAAGGTTGCTCCGATGGCACCCAGTTACTTGATCTAGTGTGCATCTGACTTTCCTGTCTTTCGATTAAAAATTCCAAATTGGCCAATGAATTGGGCCAATTCTTTGAAGAAAGGAGGCTCTTTCACCACTGACGTTGCCTTAGATTCTATATTTCTTCATGATATTGGTGTCTTTAATAAAACCAAGTATGTCATTATAAATACATACAATACATGTACTATATACCCTTCAGTCGTTCAGTAAAATACTAGCAGCACAGACGTGTGCTCCGAAACGGAAAAACACAAATTAAAGTGAAGCCGAAATGGCTGAGTAAGTAGAAATAAAGGCCATTAGGAGTGTGGTTTTCATTAACATAATAATTTCTGAACAGACCAGAGCCAAATGAGAAAATCCCAGCTAAGAGGAGCTTGGGAAAATGTTGCGCTCTACATTGGCGGGGCAAAGCGACAGTCCTAATGCCATTGCTAACCTTGCCATTGCTGATCCATGGAATTTTAGATGACGAACCAGTAAGTAGCCAACCATTAATGTATTGAAGGAGATCCGCCTAACGGATGTGATCTATAGGCATTCAGATGCATGTATCTGGTGTCCAACATGGCACTCTTTTGGATCACCGAAGCAATTCCTCTCTATTTGACATCGCTATTTCCGGTGGTTTTTTTGCCACTCTTTGACATTTTGGTGAGTCGTGGCCGGAGGGTATCAATCAGCGGTCGACTAATCCCCTGATAATGTCCACATTCTATAGGGTTCCGATCAGGTGTGCAAGTTATACTTCTCCGATACGGTGGTCATGTTTATTGGCGGGCTAATCATAGCCTTGGCCATCGAATATAGCAATCTGCATCAGCGTATTGCCATGAAGACCATTCTCTTAGTAGGCTGCAGTCCAAGGCGGTAAGTACTAAAGGAAGGAACCACTCGCCTCTCATCACCCACCACTGCATTCATTGTCTTTTCAGTCTGCACTTTGGTTTGGTCATGGTTACATGTTTCATATCATTATGGATCTCCAATTCGGCTGCCACAGCCATGATGTGTCCCATTGTGAAGGCTGTGCTCAGCGAACTCGATTCGGTAAGGAATAGATCTCTTTTCCGAATATTAGGGTATATTTAATAGACTCTTCGTGGTACATAGCAAAATATATTCACGGTGTACAAGTCTCAAGAGGAGGAGCCAATGGAAGAGGGCGATCCGCCTCACCCATCGACCATATCAATGGCCTTCTACTTTGGCGTTGCCTATGCCTCAACAATTGGCGGCTGTGGCACTTTGATTGGCACTGGGACAAATCTGACCTTCAAGGGTCTATACGACACGTAAGCGATTTCACCAATTGATGCTTCCATCAATACCTCCCCCTCTCTCTCTTAGACGTTTTCCCAAATCGAAGACACAAATTGATTTCCCCATTTTCATGGCCTATGCCATACCAATAGTGGTTATAGTGAACGTTTTGCTGCTGTATTTTTCACTGCAAGTCACACACATGGGTCTGTTCCGTGGGAAAAGCCAAACGGGGCTGGAGGTTAAGCGCGGCACCGAGGGCCAGGCAGTGGTGAAGACTGTGATCAAGGCACGTCACCAGGAGCTGGGTCCCATGACCTGTCATGAGATTCAAGTGACTGTGTTGTTCATACTGATGGTGTTTTTGCTGTTCACACGTAAGCCTGGCTTTGTCACTGGCTGGGGCGACTTTCTGAATGCACAGTACGTACTTTGAGGATTGATAATTATCCATGGGTAGCTAATCCATTGTGCATTTCACTTTCAATAGGAAAATAGGCAGTGGACCGCCAGTTTGGCTGCCCGTCATGTTGCTCTTCGCATTGCCCACTCAGTATACGTTCTTCAAGTACTGCTGCGGCAAGCGTGAGTCGATCATTCATTCATTCTTGAACCCTTAATCCTTACACCTGTGATCTATTCAGCTCCATTTACTGGTCAGAGCATGGATGCCCTCCTCTCCTGGATCTACATACACAGGAATACACCATGGGGTCTATGCTTTCTGTTGGGTATGTGACACAGATCCGATCCTTGTCCGCAGATACTAATTGGCTCTTTGTAGGCGGTGGATTCGCTTTGGCCGAGGGCAGCAAGGTCAGTGGCATGGCCAAGATGCTGGGTGACTCACTGAAATTCGCTTCCAAGATGCCGCCCATTGTGGTCGAAGGCATGTGCATTCTCATTGGACTCTTCTGCACCGCCTTCAGCTCCAATGTGGCCATCTGCAATATTCTCATTCCGATCTTTAGTGAAATGGCCTTGGCCATTAAGATGCATCCCCTGAAGCTGACTCTGCCGCCATCTTTGGCTATCAGCATGGCCTACCATCTGCCAGTGAGCACTCCACCAAACGCCATCATTTCTGGCTATGCTGGGATCAAGACCAAGTACTTGGCTCTGGCCGGCATATTGCCGACAATTTGGGCCTTTATCGTCCTGATGTTGAACAGTCAGTATGGCAATATCATTTTCCCAGAGAGCACAAAGTTCCCCGACTGGGCGAAGGACGCGTAAACACACATTTTTCCATACTTATTTCCCAAACACTCACACATGCCAAAAGCAAATAACAAATCAACGAATGACGGACGGCATCGTTAAGGATCTCTTGGACCTCTTCGTTGATAAATCCATGGCTTACTTCCTGTACACTTGCACCAAAACAAAACCAAAATCCACTAAAGGATAGTAAGCCACTTGGAGTGTTAATCATATACGAACATGCATATGTATTCGGATATGGTGGACATTTTCCAATGGCACAAAGACATCGTAACACACGCCAAGACTTTGATTCTTATGCCCTCTCGCCCCATATCCACAAATATGTGTGGCAGGTTGTTAAACAAATATGTACATGGAAGATTATTGCCCAAAAATCTAAGATTCATAAGCCAAACGAATCAGCGCAATAAGTTTCCCCTCAATACGAATATACACGGATACACGGAATATACGGATCCCTCTCGGAAGACACTGAATACAAATCAAATTACAATCCAATGCATGTGTAAGCCCCTCTGAATGTTAATGAAATATATATTGGTGGGAAACACTCGTTAATATCAGCAATAACAATCAAGTCATAAATATTTATTTTCAATTATATTTTCCCCACGGGGCAAAACCGCAGCCAGGAGGTAGGTATACCAAGGGGTATCCGATTTCCACGATGACAACTTATTTAATGCTTATTTTATGCCATTTACCAACACAGAGAGCTAAGCCACACACACACACAGCCACAGCAGGTGGTCCTCGCTGTGGGATCCTTACCACAAAGATATAGATTACAAAGCCCAGAGCGAGAGCGAGGGGAAGCTCATAAATAACGCACAATTTGTGGCAATCAAAAACTATGATAAACTTATTCAAAGCTTCCTATAAGCTGGTGGGGGCTTGGTGGGTTGCGGGTGGGCGTGTACCGGGGCGTTCATAAGGGCATTGAGACACACTTAGGCGATATTTTCGGGGGCCCGAACGAAACAAAAAAGTTTATGCAAACACAGCAGAAAGTCGTATTTGTCCGTAAAGTACTTGCAACATTCGGCTGTGGCCCCAAATGGAAATCATTCACGTTTCCAAAATAATTAGGATATTCTTGAAACAGAACTGGATTTGTTTTCATTTACATTAAATAACAATAAAGACAGTACTTGATTACAGAGCTAAGCCACTTGTATTACACTTCTGCCACCCACTCGGAAATTCATTCTTATTTTGGGGAGTGAATGATATGCCCGAGTACCTTGTTCCTTCCTCTCAAACGTCACAGCCTCATTCAGGCGTGAATGATAATACTCAGCCGTGTACGGGTGCACGGGTGGGGAGCCCATAAAAGAAACACGAAAATCCCCAACTGACATACGCATAAACAAATCATCTGTGCACACACGCACACCCACTTACGCACACCCCCACGAAGGCAATGCCCATAACCACACACGTGTGGGTGGAACTCACGAGTATTCAAGCGAATGAGCAACGCAACCAAATAAATGTAATAAAAAAAAGCGAAAGAGACAGAATGGCCCAAGAATGAGCTTTGAATATGGGAATACAAATAAAAAAGAAAGAAACCAACAAGCACGCTGTGCAACACTGATTACGGTATGGCATGCGGCAGGACTTCATCAAGAAATGTTCCACCGACAAGGGGACGTCAAGTCGACGCCAGTGGGGCAAACACAGGACCCGCCAAATGGGCGACGAGGCAGACAATGGGCACCCAACCAGCCGCTTTTCTTACACACTGCGAAAATCAAGAATCAACAAAGGAATCAGGAATGAATAGATTTGGCAACAATTGAAGTGAATCGTGAATGCATTACAAGGCTCGGTCGGGAGCTTTGTGAAGGAGAATAACTTTTCATAAAGATATTCAAAAGAGTTAGATTTTGGGTGCAGCAACGCCAAACGAATATTTCTTGGGAATGAATGCTGAACATAGGACGAGTGAAACTTGATTCTGAATTTAGTTCTTTCTCTCAGTACACGGCTGATGAAGCAAGGAGGCTGACACCGGATGTACAGTGGTTAACAGAACAATGGAACGGGCATAAAGTAATGAAGTGAGCAGCATGCAAATAAACGCACAATAAAAGTATTAATAAATGGAAAATAATCTTTATTATAGTGGACTCTAATCAGGGTTATCTTTAGCCACTTACTACTGTAATAACTGTTGTCCGAGTAACCGTATTTTCCGGCTGTTCTTCCCCCGCCAGCCATCTTGGCGAATGGCTTTGTTCCTCTGTCGGTTCGGTAGATGATACTTCCTGCCCCAGGCTGCGATGGTTGTTAACGCTGTTCCGTTGTTCTTATTGCCGTTGCTATATTGCTGCTCTCTAGCACCATAAAGCACTCAAAGTTGAATGAGCTGCTGATCGGCTTTTGGTTGTGCTACAGTTCCGGCTGTCTGTCCAGTTTCTGGGGCCGCAACTTCGGTTACTACTGGTGCCACAACTTCTGGAAAGTCCTGCTCCTGCGGCAGGAAAGAGAGAAAAGAATAGTTAGCGTAAGGAATGCATATCAAATCTGAGCAAATCCCAGACCGACAAATTGTTAATGACTCTGTCAGAAGCATAATCAACTCAAGTCTGGAGAAGAATTCAGGAATCCCTACAGCACACACATGCTGGGAGGCAAACAAAACAGGAAGTTGTCCAGGATTTTCTGGTTTTCGGAAACGCCAACTCAAACACCAAAGAAGGCGGTGGATTTTAGGGATAGTGCGATTCTGTACTCCGAATAAACAGGATTGATATTTACTTTTCCCAACAAAAGATGCCAAAGTCTTCTAGCAAAAGAATACACACAATTTTGCACTCTTGATAGCTTTTTGTTTTGTCTCCAAAATTAATTGTCAATGCTTCAATTTTTCTAAAAGGGAACACCTCTTGGGAACACCCCAATTTGTGCCTTAGTCACGTTACGTATACGCAACGCCAGGGCCTGTTTTAATTATAGAAAACACCCAACACCAAACATGAAATGCTCCTGTCGCGCCTGGTCGTGTAATTATGCATATAATTAATATGCATGTACTTATTTAATATTAACCAAATGGCTGCCACTTGGAGCATGTCACCAGCAGAAGCAGAAGCAGATGAGTGGAACAGGCAGCATGGAGTGAGAGAGGTAGTGCCAGTGGGAGTGGAAGCAGGCGATTGGGTATTTGTTGCTCCGTCATGCTCCCTCCTCCACCACCCACTATCTTGGCAACAATAAATTGTGTTCAATTAGAGCAATTAGTGTAAGAAGCTTTCGCGGCAAAAGGTGTACATGCGAGACCTACTGCACATACATACATATATATGTGTGTGTGTGTGTGGGTGTGAAGGCGTAACCATGGCCTCGTAGCATACATGTATAAATTGTAGCCCTACGCCCTGCTACCCCTGGGGATAGACACTGCCAAGGCTTAGTGAAAGCAATTTGGGAATTGCATTGCCAATTCCTTCCAAGAGGCAAAAAGCTGGGTCAGAGGAGAGGCCTGTGCGGTTATGCTAGATGCATTTCTCTAGTTGGCTTGCTCCAGTTGCTGGAAGCGGATAGCTCTTAGCAGGGGAATGGAATCCGTCTAATGAGGTTTGGTATTTGCTTTCCGCAAATGAAAAGAAAGCAATTTGCAGACGATAAATTTCCTTAGAAATCTGAGCTTTGTTTTAATAGCGTTCAAGGGTTCTCGTTTCTCCCCCCAGCACCATTTTGCTATGCCAACAGCCTGAAAATGTTTTGCAAAGGCATTAAGTGCGATTAGGTGTCTCCCCTTTTTCTTAAGAACAGTCCAAGTACACTAGATTCCAACATTGAATTTTAATTAAAAAATAATCTAGATCCAACAAACTTCTTCTTTACACTAGCCCCACCAATCAACTGTCAAAACTTTAGTGGTTTTGCCTAATAGCTGGACAGCTACGTAAGAACTACCATCGATACGCTATCTGTATGCCCTAGATATCACACATCAGTCAATCCAGAAACAATCTAAGGATTCGTGAGAAAACTTTGTGCACGGGGAAACTTTTCTGTTGGGCAATTGCCTTAGCCTCCAATACAATTTATTAGCTCCCACGCACAGGTTACGGCACGAATTTCCCGCCCTCTCCCTTGTGGGGTCAACAATATGTTGTGTGTACGTAAAAGTTATACAAAATAAAGTGCATACATGCAGATCCATTTTGCATATAACCAGTCAGGCGGCATGGCTTCCAACTCGATTATGAGCTCAAAGTTTCCAGTGGAATCATCCAGTGTTTTGGTGATTTCTTGCACGTACTTTCAGCTCAAACTCAATTACACGTTCAAAGAGCAATTCCTTCTTTTTGTGTGCTAGGTGGGGAAAGCAACCACAACAAACCTATACAAAATAATAAAAGTTTTTCCCGCTCTTCTGTTTGTTTTCTCATTGTGCTGCTATAGCCTGTAGTGGAGTGTAGGTACAGCTGTTGGGGCACCGAGGACGAGCCCCACGACTAAGTGAGAACATATGTTGGACAGCAGATACACAGGCGATAAAGCACTGAGAAAAACGTTAAGGGACTGAGATCTATTCTCTTTTACTCTGCAGAACTATTAAGCACCATTTATGAGTATTCTCTTAAGTCAGATTCGATCTTCAATGCCATCTCTCAGGTCGGCTTAAAACCTTAAACAAAACTTTCAAAAACTACTTTCTAGGTGAAGTTTTTCGTCTCAGTGGAGGCATAAAGTAGGGCCAGTGAGTGCGGATGTGAGGGAGAGAAAGCTCGAATGATGGCTTCCATATCAGGTCCCAATAGGTTCCGCTCCTTTCCGTTCCCTGAATCCCCGTTCGCGTGTGGCCTGCTGTAAGGCCAAGTGATGCCCGAAAATAGCACTAAAATTGTCGCCTCTGCCGTTCTGCGTATTGTCTGTTTTTGGCTTTACTTCCTCTGTGTGTGTGTTGGAGTGCTGATATGTGTGTTTGAGTGAGAGTCTGTTTGTCTCTGTGGCTGTGTGTGTGTGTGTGTGTGGTGCCACATCCCGTTTTCTGGGCATGGCGTGTGCGCACGAGTGCCATTGTCTAAATTATTTGGATGGCGTACATTTTACGTTGAATTTTGCGTGCCATCAACCCAAGGACCCTGTCCATGGACAGATCCTTCCTCACTCAGCCAGGATGCAAAAAAACAATACGTCAATTTGTATATACGTACGTATGCATGTGTCGCCCTGGTGTTTGTCAGGGCAAGTGATTCCTCATGATTGGCCTAATTGTCAGTCAGGTCAGAAGCACAACATGGGAGTGGAAAACCGATTCGTTCTTCAGTTTCCTGAGTGTGCATTCAAGTACTTTATGTGGGGAAAAGTACGTGCAACTGTGCGGACGTGTATGCCCTCGTATAAGCTTGTATATAATCCCCGATCCAGGTTGTATGTACAAGTATATAAGGTTACTTAATTGATGTGCTAATGGATGCTTTGTTTTTAAATGGCTTTTATTTTTGCCGAAAGAGAGAGAGAGAGAGGTAGTCCCCCGTCGACGCAACAGAAGAAACATTTGGCTGGCATTTTCACGCATGCTTTTACCCCTTTTTCAGAGGATATTTATTTGCACAGGATACAAGTAAATAAATTGAAATTGATTCTTTTGGGGATAGTTAGGGTGGCATGGGTTACAGGGTTACATTTTAGATCCATTTCAAAGGCGTTTGAATAATTGAATCATGGCACCAGCTTTGGGTATTCAGAATAGTTTATTATGCATAAAATATTCAGATATTGTGCGGTGCAGATTGTGGTTAAATTTTAGATGAAGTTTAAACGAAAAATTTTACCCCAAAAGAGTATACATACAGTATACAGTTCTCTATTTTTTCCTTCTTCAATTGATTGATTGGCTATCGAACAACAGCAATCAAACTTCAGACTTCAAACTTCAAAGACATTAAATAAACTTTATTTGAAACATTTCTTGAGTCACGTCCATGGCCGAACTTTGCTGTACCATCTACAGATATATTCGTTCGTATTATTCTTCCAAAACTTGAAATAGTGGCCCAAAATCAGTCATTGATGAATGCTTAACCTCTTTGGCATTTTTCTTATTTTCCCTCATTTTCTTTTATTGATTTTTGTTTCACCCCATTGCGATATAAATAGCTTAACCAAATTAGTTTTTCCTCCATAAGCTGCAGGGGAACTACTTTTACTCAGATCTTACTTTGAGCGCCGTTTCATTCCATGTACAATTCCAATCCTGCGATCCCCTAAAGGGATTCGGGCAGGCGGCTTACCTGTAATTAGACTGGGGAAAACGCGCTCTCCCTTTAATATTTTATTGAACCAAACATATAGCCAGATATGTGCTTTAAAGATGCACGTTTTTCTTGAACTCACTCAAGTCTTAACCGGATTTCGCTTAAGCTTTCAGTGGGAAAAATTGAAAAAATATATAAACTGCTTCGAGTGCCATAAGCTCTCTGCCTCTGCCAGGCAGCAGAACCGTCGTAGTAGATAAATGGAAATATTCCTCAAGTCGTTTCCATTAAATATTGTGAAACGTGTTCTAGTTTAAATGGAAACTTTTTCACATCTCCTTCTGCTACTTTTTGTAGCTGCCACAGAATGGAGACTGCACGGATAGAAGCTAATAAAAAATGTATCTTGAAATTTCATAATTAAAAGCGTGTTTTATGGCAACAAAACAGGAAAATAAGTGCAGGTGGAAATGTGAAATATTGCTTTTTAATGCAAATTGAAAAATGGGGAAAACTAGGTTGATTTAATTATTTTTAGAGCCTCGTTGTATTTGTATAGGTAAATCATTTTAATCGCACAAATCGCATATCATTTAATTGGAAAAGAGTTGAAAGAGCTTTGGCTGACATTCAAGATATACATAAGTAATTTATGTATATGTATATAATTGATATGATGTATGTATCTGCAATTACCCCATGATCAAGGTGTCTCTTTCGTTTGGTTCTCGCTCTGCTGCCCACCGCCATGGCTTCTTGAATTATGAGATTGTGGTGATATTTTTAGAGCAGATTTTGTGTAACTATGTGGAATATGTACTGGGTGGTTTGGTTCAATCTAATGTTTCCTTTGTTTCTTGAAAAACTTTCTTCAGAGTGACGAACTCTTTGCCATTGCCGAAGCAAAACCCCTCCATGTAGCCCACTACATCCACCGTTGCATTTGTGTCGCTTTTCAGATCAATGCAATCGTTTCCCTCCACGACTAGGTCGAGGTATTCATCTGAGTTCTCAGAATCGAGAGTGGCCTCCACAGTGATACGGTCCTTGGAATGAAGTCGCAATTTGGCATCATATCCTTTGTCCAAAGTGAGGTTTACGATATGGACTTTCACGGGAGAGGTTAATTTGTAAATGAAGCCAGACCTCATCGGCAAATATGTTAGATATGGCTTTTCTTCCTCAGATTCTGTCATTGCAATCCTTAGGAAAGGGAAAGACCCCACGTTAGGCCAATTGTCCATACCAAAATGGGAATTGAAGTACTTACTCTTAGGGTGCAAAAACACACGGTTTAAAAAGGTTCACTGCTAGTAGTGTAAGGGATTTTGAAGAAATATATAATATTTTCGAGCAGAAAACGTAGAAATTTCTCTCCTTACAGGCACTGTCGAGACGACACACTGATGTATACTCGTGTCGGAGTGACTACTTGTTCAAAGACGATACGATAACTCTCTATTTTATAAAACAGTTTTGGGTCGTCGTCGTCTGACATTTTAATCAAATCGGCGGGAGAAAGCAAAGCGAGTGAGCCGGTGGTTGGCGCCTGACCAAAGTATGCAGGGGCTTATTATATTATGATCTATTTGGATATTTCGTAGACGTTTTTCACCCCATTATAATTTATATTCATTTTGTTAAGATTTCTATTTCAAATGGTTTTAGAACCAAGGGATTGCCGTATTTAAACAGTTCTCAATAGAACTTTCATAATATCTTAAGGGTTTTATCATTGGTTGTCATAGAGCTACAGATCAGTAGCCTTACAGTCTACTGCCGTGGAATCGGCCCCCCTAATGCTGCTGCCTGTAAAAATAATTAAATGTTTCATTGAAGCTTTTGGTAACAAGACTCCAAATAGAAACCCACATCCCAGACAGCTTTAAGAAGAATGCGTAAAATTAAAAGTGTAATAAAAGACCATTAATAAAAACTGAAACAGCCAAACAACAATTCCTAGAAGAATTCCCCCCACAGGCACTTTCCAAAGTCCCATTTCATAATACATAGAAACGAGACGAAAGATTCAATAGCTAAATCATAATATGCAAATTAAGGGAGCTAAAAACACGGCTTAAATACTTTAAAGTTTAAAATTTTTTTTGGCCACGTCCTGACGCAACTCCAACGATGTTGATGGATTGTTATCGGGTTGGATGGTTGGTTGGTAGGCGATGCGTGAACTTGACTCTGAACTGTGAAAAATGAAGTGCTGATGGAAGTATAAAAATTTCAGCATGCAGTAAAACGGTGGCCATAAACCACGTAGCTCCCTAGACGACCATGGCACCCACCCTTCCACCCACTCCCACTCCCTTCAAAGACCCCTAAAGGTAGGGAAGGGCAAACCACACCTGAATGGTGTGCAGCAGGGCAACAGACCTACCAAAGTGAGTCTATAATTGATTTATATTGGCCATATGGCTGAGCGCTTACCTCGGTAGCCAGCTACCAGCTATTGTTGTCTGCCAACTGCCATTAAATGCCTAATTAAGATCTATCTCACTTTACTGGCAGTTGTCCAGCAGTGGGCTGCAAAACTCACGCCTTTTAAATATCCCTTTTTTGTGGTCCGGGGCTCCAGTTTCAATTTCAATTTCAGTACTTTTCTGACCCACGCGGGATAATACGTATACGCACGCACACTCGCACACAGCAGCCACAGCAGGCGACACAAAAGCGCGCGAAATTACACAAACAAATACGCAGACGAACAGGCAAACGCACAGCGTAAAAGGACTCCGGGTCTCCGGGATTGGCCTAAGTAAATATGGCGCCAAATGGAGATACGATGTCGCCACCGGAGCACACTCGGATGAAGCTCTCGCGTTGCGTGTTTCTGTGAAGCAACGTCTGCTCTGGCCGACGGTATTTGTTGTACTAACTCTGGCCCCAGCGTGTGATGTTTGTGATGAATGAACATGAAAACCAAGCCGAGTCAGACGAAGGATGCCCAACCACTTTGCATTGTCAGTGAAAGATGCGAATGGACCACCACCCACTGACGCCGTACGTTGGAGAGCTTTTACTACGCCGCGAGCTTTTACCACCCCACCGCACGAGTGGCTTCGTGCGTCCAAAATGCTATGCAGAACACTTCTCCAAGGGAGAGATTCAGTTCTTTAACAGAATTTAATTCTTAAACATTGGTTGCCTTCAATAGATTGGCATGGTAGGCAATGTGTTCGCCCACGAATGTGGATATATAGAAGTAGCCATGATCGTAGCCTTCGCGCTGCTTGTAGATGGTCTGAATATGTTCGTTGGAGTCGGCGGCCGCTAGTAGATTCTCCGGCAGCAGTTGCTTGGCGGCAAGGAAGTTATCCGCCAATCCCTGATCGATGAATAGCTCCTGGGGCGTGCTCTCGTACTGGGAGACCAGTCGGGTGGCATCCCACTGGTCCCAGTCAGCCTTATTAGCGCCAATGTAGCCGGTGAGGGCCTTTTGGCCCCATGCACCCTCCGAGGGATTGGCAATGGGGGCAAATGCCGAGACCGATTTGTAGAGGCCAGGGTTCTTAAGGGCGCAGATCAAGGCACCGTGTCCACCCATGCTGTGGCCAAAGATGCCACGTTTTCCGGCCGCCACTGGGAGATTGGCATTGACCAATTCAACAAGTTCTTCCGTGACATAGCTGTACATCTTGTAGTGCTTCGACCAGGGCTCCTGTTTGGCATCGACATAGAAACCGGCACCGCTTCCGAAATCGTACGCATCATCCTGTCCCTCCAGTTTGATGCCACGGGGCGAGGTGTCTGGATTGACCACGATGAGCCCGTGCTGGGCGGCGTACTTCTGGAAGCCGCTCTTCTGTATGAAGTTCTCGTGCGTGCAGGTGAGACCGCTCAGGAAGAATAGCACCGGGCAGGGCGTCTTGTCTTCAAGGGCAGCGGCCGGCAGAAACACTCCAAAGGTCATGTCGCAGTCCAGCGTTTTGGAGCTGTGCTGGTAGACGCGCTGCTCGCCTTCGAAGCATTTTACACTGGAAATCAGCTCGAGCATCATGTTCTGCAAGTGGTATAGTCGATTAAGTATATTTAATTCAGTTAATTTGGAAAACTAACAAAAATTTGTTGTATTTATCGCGGACTGATAAGAGTTATCGACCCTCAGAAATATACCGGTATGCCGTCCGACCCTCAGAAATATACCAAAATATACCGCCTCATTTTCAAAATATACCTTAAATATACTGACGAACTCAAGTTCTACTATACATATTCCTCGTTTTCTTTCTTCCGTTGAATATTACTAGCTATATAGAACATTTAGCCATGCCCACATAATTTTAGGCCGTTGATGAGTAAATTTTCTTCAAGATGGGTTAGTTTCTAATCCTTGTTTTTATTGTATTTATTGTAAAAAAAGGTTTAAACGAAAAAGTTAAAAAGTTGAAAAAATTAGTTATCAGTGTGACCGCGGACTTATCGATAAAATATACCGTCCGACCCTCAGAAATATACCGAAACATACCGTCACATTTTAAAAATATACCGTAAATATACTGACGAATTGTTTGTATTCAAGTTGCAAAAATATGGATGTGCGATCAATATATCAATATATCGATATATATTTTAGGTTTATGATATCGGTATTTTTGTGCGATAAGCTGACCTTCTCGGCGTTTTATTTTGAATATAAGGTCTCTGGTTACAGATATTTGCACCTGTGACCACTGTTTCAGAACATGTATCGATATAAAAATAGAATGGCGATGAAATTTTTAAAATCTTAACAGCCGTAAAGTGACTGGACATGAAATATCGATATATATTGTATATTTTTATCGGAACAACCATGTGCCTGTTAACGCAATGTTAATGATTTTACCACCAAAATATTTGCATTTTTAAGAAAACGATTAATATTTAACAAAAACAAACACATTTAAAGTTATAAGATGTCGGAGGAACCGCCAACCACCTCAGCCTTTGGCTTCAAGAAGCGCAACATCAACAGAGGTGCGGCCATGCGTCGCAAAAAGGAGAGCAGCAGCAGCAATGATTCAGGTACGTCCCGGCTTACCGCCAAACAAGAAAAACATTGCAATAATGTTCAAAAACATAGCCAAGAGCAGCGATGAGGAGACACAGAACAAGGCCAGTGCTCTTGTGCGGGCCGAGAACCGACGCAAACGAACAAATCCCAACTTTCAGAGCACCAAGACGGTGGGCAAGGCGAAGCGATTGGCGGGAGTCGCAACGGAGGCCACATCCAGCGACGGCAAATCCGAAGATGATGGACTGGGGGTGGCATACAAATCAAAACGTGAGGCGCTGCCCAGTGGCCCCCAGGATCAGGGTGCCACTTCAGTCAACGAAATGGACACGGAACTGGATCGCGACGCTCAGGCGATACATGCTCGGGCCCTGAAGATTAACGAGGAACTGGAGGGCAAGGCCGACGACAAGATCTACCGTGGCATCAACAACTATGCCCAGTACTACAAGAAGCAGGACACGGCGGCGGGCAATGCCAGCTCGGGAATGGTGCGCAGCGGACCCATACGGGCGCCGGCTCACCTCAGGGCCACCGTCCGCTGGGACTACCAGCCGGATATCTGCAAGGACTACAAGGAGACGGGCTACTGTGGCTTTGGCGACAGCTGCAAGTTCCTGCACGACCGTAGCGACTACAAGGCCGGCTGGCAGCTGGAGGCCGATCACGAGGCGCAACGACGCGGCGACTGTGAATCGGATGGCGACGATGGCAAGTACGAGATACACGCGGACGAGGAATCGCTCCCCTTCAAGTGCCACATATGTCGCCAGAGCTTTGTCAATCCTGTGGTGACCAAGTAAGGGAATTCCCTAATATATATCTGACCGCTATTGATATTTCGACTTCTACATTTTACAGATGCAAACACTATTTCTGTGAGAAGTGCGCTCTGGCGCAGTACAAAAAGTCGCAACGCTGCATAATTTGTTCGCAGCAGACGAATGGCATTTTTAATCCAGCCAAAGAACTGATAGAACGCCTCAAAGCGAATCCCATGGAATCTGGCGATAGCGAGGACGAAGCTGCAGCAGGAGAAGAACACCACCAGCAGGCGGATGAGAAAACTCAGGAGATTTCCTCTGAAGATAGCGATTAAGAATAATGTAATTTATATAAAAATCAGGTTCCAATTCAAATTCCAAAACGTGTACCTGAGGATGTACTGTATAGTGAGGAGAATGTTCCGATCGCTTGAAGAAAAGCTACGCCCGATGGGAGGAGAAAACAAGAATGGAGACTAAAAACAGACGGACAGACCGACCTGGCAATATCGACACCGCTTTTTAATGGAAGTCCTGCGTTTATTGTGTATAGAACTCACCGCTGTTATAATATGGCCAAAGCTAAGCACTCCCAGAGTCTTTTTTGGTGGGTTAAATAAAAAGACGAAGCTACTCCTTCCACTGATGCTCGGGAGCCTAAACGATGGGCTATTAGCAGGCCGCTTCAAACGAGGTTTCTTGCTCATTCCAGAGGGTATCTTGAATGTTACAATAAATTTGTATACTGACAGCCTTTGGGGTAATGGGAAAAATAGTAGAATTTCACTGGCATAATGTTGACATTTAGGTCTACGAAAAGATCAGGACTTGAACTTTCTTTCTGGGCTGGACTGGAATGAACCTCTCTGCTCTATCACTATCTCTCTAAGGGGCAATCAAGCGCAAAACAATCAAAAGAACACAAATTGAAGAGCCATCTCCTTGGACTTGCTGAGCGGCGAAAGTCAAGCGCAATTTTATATCCATAATTCAATTGGCAGAACTTTCATTTCCGGTCTTGTGCGCCTCAACAAACACACACACACACACACAGCTACACAAACACAGAGAAACAGAAGGGAAAAGGAAAAGAGGAAAGAGAGATTTCCGTGGGGGAATGAGTGAGTTTATGGTGGTCTTTCCTTTGACTGCTGCTGCTTTGGCACGCTAAAATCAGAAAATCTCCTGCCAAAACTTCAGCCTTGCCGCATTGTTCACTAGCACAAAGCCAGAATATTGGCCAATTGTAACGAATCGAAGCAGAAAGCCACACACAAACACACACATTCTCCCTGTGCGCCTCATCCTTCCAGCAGAAACTCTGGGGCATGCAAAATATGAGACTGAGCACATAAGCTCCTAAAAACAATGCAGCTGCAAAGGGCTGCCGCACTGAAACGTTGATGCTTGCTTCCATCTACGCAGTAGATGGCTCTGGGCCCACAAATCACCGGGAGAGACGGCGAGAGATAGGGTTGGCCACAATGTCGGACGCGGGTTCTGCATCAAGGAGCTGCAGTGCTTTCGATGCCATCGCTGTGGGGCATGTCAAAGGCCCCAAAGATTAGAAAACACGATGCATTTGACTATATATTGGCAATATCTATTTCTGATTACAAGTCGAATCAAGTCGTGAAGAATCCTCCTAAAGCGTCTTTCTCAAATAGAAATTAATCGCACGCTCAAGTCACGTTCGCTGTTCGCCTCACATTTTATGTGCCACTCACTTATTGGCAATGGATAATTGAATGACAAAGTCGTGCATGATGAACGAACGCGTAGTCCTAATTGAGTGGGAAAGAAAGATGTGGGGGAGAGCAATCATCACCCACAGAGACTCGAATAAAATGAGCGTGAAATCAGTTTTAATTATTTCCATAAATGTCAAAGCGGGCCCCATACGTGAGAGTCTTGGAATTTTATAGTTCCTTCAGCAGCAGCAGCTTTGATTGCCAAAGCGGAAATGGGTAATGGGGATATCGCAGAGGGCTTTCAGAAGTTTTCCGCCTAATTAGGAAGTGGAAATTAGTGTACCGCTACCCACACGATTGCCTTTTGGCCCCAATGTAATTAAGCGTTAAATGCGTTTAACGCCTTGAGAAAATCGACTCTCTCCTAGTTTTCTTTTGCGTATATCTTCCTATGGTGCTGCCAGGATCATCCTGTTCTTGTTGTTGGCTTTTGACACACTTTGTGAGGGTATAAGGATTTGGCAGCTTTCAATCATCGAACATCATCTTGGTAACAACTTTCAGCTTTTAAGACAGACCATTCTTTTAGGACAGTTCTCCTTTCTTTTTAAGACGATAATCCAATCAAGTTATTGAATAAAATTCATTTGGCTATATCCTATAGTTTGTCATAGGAACCTTTGGTACTATATCCTCCATATTAAAGCCTAATCTAAGAGGGTATCCAATGGGTGCTTCGGTCCTTTAGATTTATTCTTCATTTCTGTGTATCTTTGTGTGTACAGCTGTATATATGTATGTGTCTGTATCTGTGTTGTCTTTGAGGTAGCTGTCTGCACGTCTTCCTGTGCTGCTGCTTGCTGTTTGTTTTCATTCGCTTTTATTTATTGGCTTCTAATGTCATTGACTATTATCCCTTAGGGCCAGCACCAGAGTCCAGGAAACGACTCCCCTTCCACCGCTTCCCTACTCCACTCCCGCCCCCCCGTGACTTGGAGCTCAACTTGTCGCTTATTGTGTCAATTATCATTAATTTCTAAATGCTCTCTTGTCTTCATCGAAGGTTGTCGCACCTTTTTGAATGATACTCCCACCTCCCACAGCCTCCCATCTGAGGCTCCCATCATGGATAGAAGGACGTGTCCTGGCCATGCTGACAATGTTACCCTGGGCCATATAAATTGTTATTGCCTGTCCATGGGATGTAGGACTCTGTGTCTGGACTTTCTTAAAGTCCACCAAAACTCCATTTGGCATCGTAGTTTGTGGGGCGTGGCCGCCAGCAGTATTTATGCTTCGGTTCTTGATAATTTATTATCCATTGGAGAGCGCTTTTCGGATCCACAACTCAACAAAGTGCTACATTGTTACCCAACCAAGGGAAATATTTAAAATTTCAATTCAATGGTTGTTTAATTATTATATAATTTAACTCCACACTGGGCTTTGGCCATAAATAATCGCCAACAACAGTATTAAGCCACCGCAGATATCCAGCCTCATTAATCTTTCACTTTAAATAGCCCCCGCACGGCCACGACCAAACCAATTAAATCCCAATTTAATGAGATAACAATTTATGAAAATCCACAAATTGAATGGCAAAATGAAACGATTCCCTAAGCAAAACAAAAGACCAAAAAGGCAGAGTTTGGGTGATAGGTTTTATATCGAAAATCCGCGTACAAATTATGAAAAAAGTCACAAGAAGAAGTACTATTCCAATCCTTTTATTCGCTAGATATTATAAATAACCTTCTTTTCCATATCTGCATTAAATTCTCTGTGATATCCTGCAACCCTTTTTTCAGACTTCCTCAAGAACAAAGATCAGACATCTCTTGGTAAATCTGTTTGCCAATATGTAACCCATGCGAAACTTGGGAAACCACACAAATTTGTGTCTCCGCAACCGCAATGTTAATTTATAGCAAACATTTTGTTTGGAACACCAAAACAGCATCTTTGACACTTGCAGTTCTCGCTCTGGGGGGTCCTGGCTGGTTGGATGGCACGGGTCCAAAGGCGTCTGTGGCACACAGAAAAAGAAAGTTTTCTTCGAAAACAAAAAAGCACTCGACATGTCCGGCCACAAGAATGGCCTGTCATTGGTTAGCCGCAAATGCAAATAAAGATAAAATGCAAAGTGGGCAAAAACTGGCCAAATGCATCCAAAGGAGGATGGGATGCTGCGATCCTGGGATACAGAACCAACAGTGAACAAATCGCTGCCACTTTTGCGCCATTTTCGAATTGATGTTAGTCGATTTCTTGTTCTCTCAGCCCCAGTTACCGTCCCCCTGCCACTTGGTTTACGACTTTACGAGAGTCGAGTGTCGCCTTCTTTTGGTTTCTGGGAGGCACAAAGTTTTCCCTGCACTTTATGATTTTTGTGCAAAACTTTTGTCAGTTCTCGGCTTTGTGCTTCGCCTCTGTTTGTGGCCCTTTCACTGGCTCTTGGCTCCGGCTTTCATTTATTGGCAGAACCAGATGCCTTTTGGCCTCCATATTGATGTTTATTATACTCCCCGAAACGTATAAAGAATACCCAGCCCGTATTCAAAAAAAGAACACAAAATCACAACGTAACAAAAATATAATAATACTCATAATAAGGTAACAAAACTTTCTGGCATTCCCTTTCGCTGGGAAGATATCTTTTCAATTGTGTGTAAAGTTGGTAAAAATCAATATTTTCTTTATTGTTGTTGTTAAAATTGATCTTTATCGGAGATAAAAATAAATTGAAGTTCGAATTACGATTCTTGTGGAGGAGAATATATTTTGTTATTCGGCATACCTTATTATTTCAGGGAGAGGAACAACTCTGATTGAGCAAGACTAGAGATTCGGAGGAATGGAATTTTGTAAATCTTTAGGCATTTTATAGAGAGGATAGATCCATCCATTCTTTCTTCTATTAAAACACATTAAACACGCAAAAGTCAGTCACCAATAAACCCACCAAAAGGCTTTTCTCCAAATAAAAGCCCATCAAAAGCTACAGCCATTAAAAAAAAACCGTGTCCTAGTGTAATGTTAACACCTTGCCCGTGGATATCTACCAACACGAATGTTGCCTATCCTCGTGTGAAATCGGGGGGCATTCAACGTATCCTGTGCACAGTTACAACTTCCGGTCAGGCACACACAAATGAGCTACAAAATACATATACCACCCACATTCCACACGCCACACGGCACTCCCCTAAACATCTCTTAGATATAACAACATGAGATTGCAATAATCAGAGAGGGACACAGAGACAAAAGGAACAACAATGAAATGTCCGGGCCATAAGCAAATGAGGCTATTTGTTGGGATAAACCAGAGACAGAGAAAGGCCAAGAGATAGAGGTAGAAGAAAGGAAGGAAAGGAAAGGAAAGACAGAGAGAGAGATAGGGAAATCCCATTGTCCAGTCTAAAAAGTTTCAATAAGGAAATATGTGTGCAAATAAAATAAATGAAAAGTGTCTAAAAATTTCAGTTTAATAAGCTCAAGAATGGAAAGAACAAAAAGCACAAAAGTTTATCAAACTATTAGATGTGTATCTGTGTGTGGGTTCATGCACATATGTGTGTATTAGCGTGTGTGTGTCGGTGTCAGGGGATTTTGCTGTTGACAGTTTTGTGAGAGTTTGAACAACAAGTTGCCATTTTCCCCCATTTCCCAATGGTTTGGCCAGAGACTAAGCTGAAAATATTTTCATTATAAACTTTACGACAGGTTTTCTTTTCTATACATATGTGTGTGTGTGTGTGTTAGCAAACGGAAACGGAAATGCGCCATTAACTGGCAAGTCAAGCTTATTAGCTGCAATAAAAAATAATAAGCTGCAAAGTTATGTTGCAATTGTGGCATATTTTCCTCCACAGAGAGAGAGAGAGAGAGACTCTCTAAGAGTATGTACCAGTATGTGTGAGTATGTGTATCTGTGTGTGTGTGTCCATTGTGGTGTGCCTCTGATGGTTGTGTGCGTTTGTTGGAAAATTCTTTGCTACTTACTGACTTGGCTTTTTGCACTTTTCTT